TGCCCGTCGGGCACGTTACAAGAGGGGCACCTTTCATCGGCTTAGCTATAGCCAGCTCCATTTTTCTTCCCTGTGTGGATATTTCTTTGTCGGTTTTGATGGAAAACCAGTTGCTGAACATAGGTAAGGATGTGGGCGTCCCGCTGGGGATTGGCGAGGGAGGGGGTTCTCCTGGTCTATGTGGTAACTTCAGTTTTTTGTTTCTATTTACAAAGGGATTCGTGTTCCCGTTTCTTTCATCACTCAGCTTTGGGCAAAATCTCGTCTCTGTACGCCGGGAAGCAGGACTCGACACGGCATAAGATGTCAGTGCCCCTTATACACCTAACAACCAGAACCTGCTTTGATAGGGTGAAAACGTGTTTGCTGAGGGAACAAGAAACTTGGCTCTGCCAATGTGTAAATTTCGGGGTCCACCTGATCTGTGTTGGGAATTAAATGCTCCCGTTTCTCTTTCCCTGGGAAACTTTGCTTTCTTTCTCATTCTTGCCTAGATTTGGGGAATATCTTTTTCTCCTGGACTCCGTGAGGTAAGGTTTAATGAAACTTCAGCTCTGGTGACCCCTAATAATCTGAACAACAGCAGCAACAACAACAAAAAGAAAAAACAATTGAAGGACATCTGCGCCAGCCACAATAATAGTAGTAATAATATCTTTATTTCTACAAGTACATGTACATGGTATTCAGGCTTAGCTGACGTAAATGACATACTATTATACAGAAAGCACCTAGTTATGCAGAACATTTCGGACAAAATTAGGTCAATTTTGTCCCAGGATGCGAACCACACCAGTCGACTAACACTCAGGTACCCATTTTATTGATGGGTGAACATAGACAGCAGGTGTCTTATGGAAACACGTCCGAATGTTTTCCAGGCTTACTCTTAGCCTAAAACATTTACATGCCCTCAGAACTACTGTATGAATTTATACTTAGTAAAATATTGAATGTTTTCTCCTCTTGACTAAAGTTTATCTTAAGACCAGGTGCTGCATGATACACTTCCCTATACATGAATATGTAAGAATATATTACTATGGTAATATTTAACCTTGACATGGGTGTAAGGAATCACTTAGGTCAGGATGAATTGCAAAAATTAGAAATATTGTACTAAAAACTGCCAAATGATACGAAACATATGAAACATATGAAACTGAAAGCTCTCGCTTCACACACTGAGGGCCCGGGTTCGATTCCCTGCTGGGTAGAAACATTTCGACGCATTTCCTTACACCTGTTTTCCTGTTCACCTAGCAGCAAGTCGGTACCTGAGTGTTAGTCGGCTGGTGTTGGTGGTGTGGAAATTTATTCGGTCCTAAAAGTTCCACAGGGCAGATACTGCCCAAAACACACACACACACACACACACACACACACACACACACACACACACACACACACACACACACACACGCACACACACACCCAAGGTTGTTGGAAGGTACTTCTTAATTGATAGATTTACCCTTCAGGAAAGAAGTAGGTAGCTTAAACTGTTAGAACTACTGAGGCAACTGTAGATAATAATAATGTAAACCTAAGGCCTTAATGTAGGTAGTAATAGACCGATAAAGTAGACAAACACTAGGTTATGTTAGCCAGGGAGAACTTTTAGTTAGTTTAATATGTTTATTATGCACCCCATACCCATCCTGTGGGCGGTAGTCAAAAGATTACAGAGGTACATAATTGGTCCAGGGACTGGACTCCAAAGTTTTGATAGCTGAACAAGTTACAGAGGTAATGAACTCACAATTTACAAAGGTAATGAACTCACAATTTACAAAGGTAATGAACTCACAATTTACAAAGGTAATGAACTCCAGGTAAGTCTGGTCACAATCATGACAAGTTACAAAGGTATTTACAGATTACAGAGGTACGTAATGGGTCCAGGGACTGGGCCCCCAAAGTTTTGATAGCTGAACTAGGTACAAAGGTAATGAGCTCACAAGTTACAAAGGTAATGAATTCTGTAGAATGGTTACTTACGTTTATACTTTGGCTACAATCATGAACAAATTATAGAGTAATGAGCAATTCACACTTCCACACCCGGTCACAACTGTAATGAGTTATTGGTGCAAATATTGATTGTTGAGTCACACACACACACACACACACACACACACACACACACTTTAGTTTAATATCTTTATGCACTACAGACCTGTGTCTCTGACATGTATTGTGTGCAAAGTCATGGAGAAGATTATCAGGAGGAGAGTGGTCGAACACCTGGAAAGGAACAAGATTATAAATGAAAACCAGCATGGGTTCATGGAAGGCAAATCTTGTATCACAAACCTCCTGGAGTTTTATGACAAGGTAACAGAAGTAAGACATGAGAGAGAGGGTTGGGTAGATTGCGTTTTCCTAGACTGCAGGAAGGCCTTTGACACAGTTCCCCACAAGAGATTAGTGCAGAAGCTGGAGGATCAGGCACACGTAAAAGGAAGGGCACTGCAATGGATAAGGGAATACCTGACAGGGAGGCAGCAACGAGTCATGGTACGTGAAGAGGTATCACAGTGGGCGCCTGTTACGAGCGGGGTCCCACAGGGGTCAGTTCTAGGACCAGTGCTATTTTTGATATATGTGAACGACATGATGGAAGGAATAGACTCTGAAGTGTCCCTGTTCGCAGATGACGTGAAGTTGATGAGAAGAATTAAATCGGACGAGGATGAGGCAGGACTGCAAAGAGACCTGGAGAGGCTGGACATGTGGTCCAGTAACTGGCTTCTCGAATTCAATCCAGCCAAATGCAAAGTCATGAAGATTGGGGAGGGGCAAAGAAGACCGCAGACAGAGTATAGGCTAGGTGGACAAAGACTACAGACCTCACTCAGGGAGAAAGACCTTGGGGTGACCATAACACCGAGCACATCACCGGAGGCACACATCAACCAAATAACCGCTGCAGCATACGGGCGCCTGGCAAACCTGAGAATAGCGTTCCAATACCTTAATAAGGAATCGTTCAAGACACTGTACACTGTGTATGTTAGGCCCATACTGGAGTATGCAGCACCAGTCTGGAACCCACACCTGGTCAAGCACGTCAAGAAGTTAGAGAAAGTACAAAGGTTTGCAACAAGGCTAGTCCCAGAGCTCAAGGGAATGTCGTACGAGGAAAGGTTAAGGGAAATCGGACTGACGACACTGGAGGACAGAAGGGTCAGGGGAGACATGATAACGACATACAAGATACTGCGGGGAATAGACAAGGTGGACAGAGATAGGATGTTCCAGAGAGGGGACACAGGGACAAGGGGTCACAACTGGAAGCTGAAGACTCAGACGAGTCACAGGGACGTTAGGAAGTATTTCTTCAGTCATAGAGTTGTCAGCAAGTGGAATAGCCTAGCAAGTGAAGTAGTGGAGGCAGGAACCATACATAGTTTTAAGAAGAGGTATGACAAAGCTCAGGAAGCAGAGAGAGAGAGGATCCAGTAGCGATCAGTGAAGAGGCGGGGCCAGGAGCTGAGTCTCGACCCCTGCAACCACAATTAGGTGAGCACAATTAGGTGAGCACACACACACACACACCCTCACACACACCCGCACACACACCCTCACACACACCCACACACACGCACGCACACACACACAACACACACACACACACACACACACACACACACACACACACACACACACACACACACACACACACACCCTCACACACACCCACACACACACACACACACACACACACACACACAGGCCAGGAGCTCGGACTCGACCCCCGCAACCTCAACTAGGTGAGTACACACACACACACACACACACACACACACACACACACATGCACACATGTGGTAATGCTTTATTTACAGCTAGCAAAGTCAGGGTATTTCTCCAGAATGGTCTGCAATATACCACTGTGGATAAAATACTTAGCCATTTCTAGAACTGGCAGCCCAAGTTTGAATACTGGGGCACGGGTTTGAGACCGCAGTGCCCTTTCTTCTAAGACTAGACACCGTCGGAGCAACAAGTACCGTGATCAGCAGGTGGCGCCCCCACGTGTCTTCACATACTAGACCTGGGGAAATCTGGTGGAGGCACCTCGACGTACCGTAGATGTCCTCCTCCATCAGGCCCATACAGTAAGACGATACCTTCCTTTTCTCACTCGATTCTGGCCAGTTTCTGGGGAAAATTGAGAGTGAGTTGAGCTGTGGGCCTTTGTGCAGCCGGCAGTTCATGACCGGTACGTACCAGCGTCTCTTGTCAGCCTAGAAGCTAGTGTCACTCTGCATAGTCTAGGGGATTCACACCCCCTTGGAAACAGGAATTTCTGAGGTGCAGGCAGGTCACTAATGTCGACTGAATATTGCAGGAATTAAGGCTCCCAGTTGCACTTGGTTCTGAGGGGAAGTCCAGAGGGACTAAAGCTTATGGAGGTTGAAGACCGGGACATATTCTCCAACATCAAGTAAGTTAGTCCTTTGTACGTGCATGCAGGCGAGATTTCTTGCAACATCAATCATTTATGGAAATCTGTCCTATAAGCCACTTGTGAGGCTGAGGTACCGACCTCAGAGCTCGGTGTCAACAGAGCTTGCCAGGGTAGACAACTCACATGGAGGCAGTCCAGACAAATTTTCACAGGTGGCATCCTGGAAGACAAGATTGAGGACCCCAATGGAAATAAGACAGACAGTCCTGGATGACGCACTGATTTTCTTGAGTTATCCTGAGTGGCTAACCCTGCGTGGTTAGAAATCTGAACGAAATCTTATCTTATCTTCCTCATGTTTTCCGCTCTGCGGATAATTCTTTAACGGTTTTAGTGAGAAGCCGGTTACTGAACTTAGGTTCTGAGTGTGGGAGTCTCACTTGGGCTTGGCAAGATGGTCCACCTGATCTAATTGGAAACTTCTAGTTCCTGTTCATATTTACAAAGTAACTCTAATTTCTTTATCTTTCATCGTCCAGCTTTATCTTTCATCGTCCAGCTTTAGACAACAAATCTTCCCCATACATCGGGAAGTCGGGCTCGATACGGCATAAGCTGTCAGTGGACCTGATAAACAAAACAAAGAAAAGAAAGAAAGAAGAAACTTCTTATCTAAGGAAATAAGGAAACTTGTGAAGAAGGAAAAAGACGTAAACACTGGCTGGTCTGTACGTCTCTTCCCGTCCAGACAGTTGTGAGTCACACTCTGGTCTCTCAGCTGTTTGAAGTGTGATGTTGGGAAGTGTGTGGAGGTAATAATACTCTACTCGCCTAGGTATGGTTGACCCCTCAAGGGAGGTTCCTTGACGCTGGTGAGGGGCTCTTGATCTAGGGAATTGGATCTGTGCTCCAGTTCCCTGAATTGAGCCTGAATGCCTTCCATCCCCCCCACATGCACTGTATAATCCTACGGGTTTAGTGCTCCCCCATAATTATAATAATAATAGGTATAGTTGCAGGGGTCGAGTTACAGCTCCTGGCCCCGCCTCAGTGTTTACTAATGTGGTTAAGCAATTACGAGTGATAAAGTATTGATAATGAATTACTTAGGCTTTATTATTAAGTTAAGTCAAGGACTCCATTTGAATGGCGTCACTTTGACTTTTTTGGGTTATCCTGGGTGATTTACACTTACATTGCTATAATAATTGTACTAATATGTACCTGTACCTAAATAAACTTACTTCATTGTACATGATATATTGTTTTGTGCCTAAAACATTTACATGCTCTCAGAACCATTGTATGAAGTGATACTTAGTAAAATATTGAATATTTTTTCACTTTTGACTTAAGTTTATCTTAAGTCAGGTGCTGTATGACACCTACAGGTTTAGCGCTTCCCTATATATGTAATAATAACTTACTATGGTAATATTTAACCTTGACATGGGTATAAGGAATCACTTAGGTCAGGATGAACTGCAAAAATTAGAAATACTGTACTAAAGACTGTCAAATGGTATGTCAAATGGTATGTCTACACACTTGCAGCAAACAAATTGTGTCAACATTATCCTACTGTAAATTTTGAAATAGTTGGAGTTGAAATCAATATTGAACCTGGGAAAGTGAGTAGAATCATGCAGTAAAGATGGACATTTTTCTTAATCCCACCTGTCACTGTGTTGACATTTATAGACAAAAGCCCTTCAAGGTAGGTGACTCAATGCTGGTGAAGGGTTCATGAGTCATAGAACTAAAGCTTTGCTCCTCTTCCCTGAATTCAACCTGATTACAATGGAACCTCAGTTTTCGTGATTAATCCGTTGGAAAAAGTCTGATGAAAACCAAATCGTATGAAAACTGAAGAATATTTCCCATAGGAAATAATGTAAATCCAATTAATTCGTTTTATAGAGAATATCCATAGTTTTACATACAGAAAACAATGAGAAATAAATATAAATGATTAATGAAATGGATAAATGAACATTTAACATCACTTTTGCCTTTAATATAATATACACTATATAATATACACTATATAATATATACACTATTTCTTATTACACTTTAATATAATATAATCGTGTCAAACACTTTTGCCTTTATTGAAGACTTGTTAGCATATGGAAGATGGTGAGGAGGGGAGAGGGAGGAAGAGAGGTTATTGTTTGGAAGGGGAATTCCCCTTCATAAGGAATTCGGGTATCAAGGCCCTATCCGGGGCTACTTCCCTTCTTTTTCTTTTACTGTCACTAGGACCAGCTTGAGAGTCACTGGACCCCTGTCGCACAAAAAATATGTCCTGAGAGGTCTGTTTCTGACGTCTCTACAATTTACCTAAAATGGGACAAGGCACTGTCATTGAACATGCAGACACGGCTTGCAACAACTTTGTTAGGGTGATATTTCTCCACAAAACTTTGCAACTCATTCCACACCAACAGCAACTTCTCAACATCTTCGATCGTTTGTGATCTCTGTTTCATTAGCATATTTACCCCTTTTGCAACATCAGCTTCCTTGACTTTTTTTCTTCTTCGCCAGGATGGAACTGATCATTGATGTGGACTCCCTGTACATCCTGGCAAGATCGGCCACACTTACGCCGCTTTCGTACTTTGCTACAAGTTCTTTCTTGAATTCTATCGTGTTTCTCACCTTCTTTATCAAAGGACTGGCACTCAGAACTTTCTTTCGCCCCATGGTGGCTTATTTAGCAGTCGCACTCAGTAAACAAGCACAAAAAAGAATGGATTATTATGAAATGTTTCGGATGAACACACAGGGTGATGCTTACTCAACGAGAAACAAAGGCAGACTGAGTCACAAACGAATGGGATGCTTTGTGTGGGTGCTCAGTTCCAGGAAAGGAGTGGCCGAGCCATACGGGCAGGCAGATGAGTTTGGTATGGACCATTTTCAACTGTACGAAAACTCAGTGGATGTACGAAAACTGGAACAAAATTTTGACGAAAAAAGTCATCAAAAACCGAATCATACGAAAACTAGGGCATATGAAAACCGAGGTTTGACTGTACGTACTTATCATATACTCATTCCATACATTCTTTGACTTCTGCATAGTTTCCTTGTGAATATACTAATAATAATTCTAGGCACTACACTGTTATAGTAAACCTGATTAACCCCCATCCTTTTCCATTCCTCAGGTGCTATATGACTTATGGGTTTAGTAATCCTTCATTAATATAATAACTTTTTTATGCTTACATAAACCAGAGCAGCAAATGTAGGGAGATTTGCATATATAAGTCACACTGCTCAAGATGAAATGCTGTATTTTGGTAAGTTCTCTTATACCTGCTGCCAACATGAAGTTCCTTGTTATATTTTAAGTGAATAATGCTTTGGTAACTTTTCAGATGCCGTTCCAACAGGCAGGAGCTGCAGAGGTTCTCAGAGCATCCCAGAAGGATGAGAGTTTTGTCGACTATCTGAAGAACTGTGTTTCTGAGATTGTACAGAGGTCAGCTGGTAAGTGCAAATAATGTATAGCTAAGACACTGTATTTGAAAATACATTACCAGGATTGTATATTTGTATGCTTTTCAATAAAGGCTTCATTAAACTGTAAAACTCATATAGTTGTCTACAGTACTGTAAATGTACATCCATTCTGTAAGTGATTTCTACTTTCATATGAAACTTATTGTCTTATTGTCTTATTGTAGGTAGTAGGTTGGTAGACAGCAACCACCCAGGGAGGTACTACCATCCTGCCAAGTGAGTGTAAAATGAAAGCCTGTAATTGTTTTACATGATGGTAGGATTGCTGGTGTCTTTTGTCTGTCTCATAAATATGCAAGATTACAGGTACGTCTTGCTACTTCTACTTACACTTACGTCACACTACACATACATGTACACGTTTATTTATACACACTCATCTGAGTTTTCTTTGATTTTATCTTAATAGTTCTTGGTCTTATTACTTTTCCTTTTATATCCATGGGGAAGTGGAATAAGAATCTTTCCTCCGTAAGCCATGCGTGTTGTAAAAATAAGTCAACTAAAATGCCGGGAACAATGGGCTAGTAACCCCTTTTCCTGTAAAGATTATTAAAAAGAATAAGAAGAAGAAAATTGTCAAAGTGGGAAGTCTGAATGTGCGTGGATGTTGTGCAAATGATAAGAAAGAGATGATTGTGGATGTTATGAATGAGAAGAAACTGGATGTCCTGGCTTTAAGTGAAACAAAGCTGAAGGGGGTGGGAGAGTTTCAATGGAGAGGAATAAATGGGATTAGGTCAGGGGTTTCAAATAGAGTTAGAGCTAAAGAAGGAGTAGCAATAATGTTGAAGGATAAGCTATGACAGGAAAAGAGGGACTACAAATGCATAAGTTCAAGGATTATGTGGAGTAAAATAAAGATTGGATGTGAAAAGTGGGTTATAGTAAGCGTGTATGCACCTGGAGAAGAGAGAAGTGTAGCGGAGAGAGAGAGATTCTGGGAAGTGTTGAGTGAATGTGTGGGGAGTTTTGAATCAAGTGTGAGAGTAATGGTGGTTGGGGATTTCAATGCTAAAGTGGGTAAAAATGTTATGGAGGGAGTAGTAGGTAAATTTGGGGTGCCAGGGGTAAATGTAAATGGGGAGCCTTTAATTGAGCTATGTGTAGAAAGAAATTTGGTAATAAGTAATACATATTTTATGAAAAAGAGGATAAATAAATATACAAGGTATGATGTAGCACGTAATGAAAGTAGTTTGTTAGATTATGTATTGGTGGATAAAAGGTTGATGGGTAGGCTCCAGGATGTACATGTTTATAGAGGGGCAACTGATATATCAGATCATTATTTAGTTGTAGCTACAGTTAGAGTAAGAGGTAGATGGGAAAAGAGAAAGGTGGCAACAACAAGTAAGAGGGAGGTGAAAGTGTATAAACTAAGGGAGGAGGAAGTTCAGGCGAGATATAAGCAACTATTGGCAGAAAGGTGGGCTAGTGCAAAGATGAGTAGTGGGGGGGTTGAAGAGGGTTGGAATAGTTTTAAAAATGCAGTATTAGAATGTGGGGCAGAAGTTTGTGGTTATAGGAGGGTGGGGGCAGGAGGAAAGAGGAGTGATTGGTGGAATGATGAAGTAAAGGGTGTGATAAAAGAGAAAAAGGTAGCTTACGAGAGGTTTTTACAAAGCAGAAGTGTTTTAAGAAGAGCAGAGTATATGGAGAGTAAAAGAAAGGTGAAGAGAATGGTGAGAGAGTGCAAAAGGAGAGTAGATGAAAGAGTGGGAGAGGCACTGTCAAGAAATTTTAATGAAAATAAGAAAAAATTTTGGAGTGAGTTAAACAAGTTAAGAAAGCCTAGGGAAAGTATGGATTTGTCTGTTAAAAACAGAGTAGGGGAGTTAGTAGATGGGGAGAGGGAGGTATTAGGTAGATGGCGAGAATATTTTGAGGAACTTTTAAATGTTGAGTAAGAAAGGGAGGCGGTAATTTCATGCACTGGCCAGGGAGGTATACCATCTTTTAGGAGTGAAGAAGAGCAGAATGTAAGTGTGGTGGAGGTACGTGAGGCATTACGTAGAATGAAAGGGGGTAAAGCAGCTGGAACTGATGGGATCATGACAGAAATGTTAAAAGCAGGGGGGGATATAGTGTTGGAGTGGTTGGTACTTTTGTTTAATAAATGTATGAAAGAGGGGAAGGTACCCAGGGATTGGCGGAGAGCATGTATAGTCCCTTTATATAAAGGGAAAGGGGACAAAAGAGATTGTAAAAATTATAGAGGAATAAGTTTACTGAGTATACCAGGAAAAGTATACGGTAGGGTTATAATTGAAAGAATTAGAGGTAAGACAGAATGTAGAATTGCGGATGAGCAAGGAGGCTTCAGAGTGGGTAGGGGATGTGTAGATCAAGTGTTTACATTGAAGCATATATGTGAACAGTATTTAGATAAAGGTAGGGAAGTTTTTATTGCATTTATGGATTTAGAAAAGGCATATGATAGAGTGGATAGAGGAGCAAAGTGGCAGATGTTGCAAGTTTATGGAATAGGTGGTAAGTTACTAAATGCTGTAAAGAGCTTTTATGAGGATAGTGAGGCTCAGGTTAGGGTGTGTAGAAGAGAGGGAGAATACTTCCCGGTAAAAGTAGGTCTTAGACAGGGATGTGTAATGTCACCATGGTTGTTTAATATATTTATAGATGGGGCTGTAAAAGAAGTAAATGCTAGGGTGTTCGGGAGAGGGGTGGGATTAAATTATGGGGAATCAAATTCAAAATGGGAATTGACACAGTTACTTTTTGCTGATGATACTGTGCTTATGGGAGATTCTAAAGAAAAATTGCAAAGGTTAGTGGATGAGTTTGAGAATGTGTGAAAGTGAACATAGAAAAGAGTAAGGTGATGAGGGTATCAAATGATTTAGATAAAGAAAAATTGGATATCAAATTGGGGAGGAGGAGTATGGAAGAAGTGAATGTTTTCAGATACTTGGGAGTTGACGTGTCGGCGGATGGATTTATGAAGGATGAGGTTAATCATAGAATTGATGAGGGAAAAAAGGTGAGTGGTGCGTTGAGGTATATGTGGAGTCAAAAAACGTTATCTATGGAGGCAAAGAAGGGAATGTATGAAAGTATAGTAGTACCAACACTCTTATATGGATGTGAAGCTTGGGTGGTAAATGCAGCAGCGAGGAGACGGTTGGAGGCAGTGGAGATGTCCTGTCTAAGGGCAATGTGTGGTGTAAATATTATGCAGAAAATTCGGAGTGTGGAAATTAGGAGAAGGTGTGGAGTTAATAAAAGCATTAGTCAGAGGGCAGAAGAGGGGTTGTTGAGGTGGTTTGGTCATTTAGAGAGAATGGATCAAAGTAGAATGACATGGAAAGCATATAAATCTATAGGGGAAGGAAAGAGGGGTAGGGGTCTTCCTCGAAAGGGTTGGAAAGAGGGGGTAAAGGAGGTTTTGTGGGCGAGGGGCTTGGACTTCCAGCAAGCGTGCATGAGCGTGTTAGATAGGAGTGAATGGAGACGAATGATACTTGGGACCTGACGATCTGTTGGAGTGTGAGCAGGGTAATATTTAGTGAAGGGATTCAGGGAAACCGGTTATTTTCATATAGTCGGACTTGAGTCCTGGAAATGGGAAGTACAATGCCTGCACTTTAAAGGAGTGGTTTGGGATATTGGCAGTTTGGAGGGATATGTTGTGTATCTTTATACGTATATGCTTCTAAACTGTTGTATTCTGAGCACCTCTGCAAAAGCAGTGATAATGTGTGAGTGTGGTGAAAGTGTTGAATGATGATGAAAGTATTTTCTTTTTGGGGATTTTCTTTCTTTTTTGGGTCACCCTGCCTCGGTGGGAGACGACCGACTTGTTGAAAAAAAAAAAAATGTATTCAGCTTATATTTTTATTTTTTAAGTTTGGCTTTAGATTTGCTTGTAATGAGTGCGTAATGTTTAACTAGGCTCCAGGAGTAATTCAGTCATGCAGTAATTCAGAGAATTACTGCAACACCACCTGATTATTTTCAGTATCTATATACATACTACAGTATCTAGAATACTTATTGCTTTTGTAACATTTATACTGAGATTTTGTAAAGATCAGAGAGCCTGAATTTTATGATTATCTTTTCATCTTATATTAACAGGTACAAGAGTGTGGCTGGATATCCATAAATATGCTGAGTGTCTTTGTGAGTTTGCATATTACAGCTTAACTACATTATGTCTGCGTCAAACTCTAGGAGAGGAATATACAGGAATACTACAGGTTAACCGCACGAGGAAAAGCTTGCCTAATACACTTGTAAGTAAAAGTAAATGTAACACTTACAATCTACCAATTGCTAAGGGTTGAAAGGAGATTTCGAGAGGTAGGGACTCGGGCATTATGCAAGTACATATGTATCCCTTCCAGGGATGGTATACCATTATGAAGTCACAACTTGATCGTTTTCCAGGGGAATCTAAATGTCTAAAGCATTCATTCCAAACTGTGGATCATTTATGAATACTGTGCTTGAGAAATATATTTATATAGTGATAAGAAAACTCTTCTCTTTTTTAGTAAATGTCTACAGGAGAAGGGGTTACTAGCCCATTGCTAGGGGTGTTAATGTTGCAGTTTAAAAACTGTAGTGTAAAGCACCCTTCTGGCAAGACAGTGATGGAGTGAATGATGGTGAAAGTTTTTCTTTTTCGGGCCACCCTGCCTTGGTGGGAATCGGCCAGTGTGATAATAAAAAAAAATAAAAGAAAACTCTGAGTGAGTACTTCCTCGTGGAATTAAACATTAGGTGATGCCAAAACTAAAGTGGAGGGATGAAAATTTTTCTGCTTTGTTTATCTGTAATCTTTAACACTTTTGTAGTAAATTGCCCATCTATTTCTTATTACACTATACATATTATATTTTCATAATTTTTAGGCTATCTGTTTCTATATAAATGCATAATTGAGAATTTATTGTAAAAGATGTTATGGAATATACACGAAAAGCTGCACGAGGCACCTTGTTTTGCATAGACAGTGAATTGTTTATATGGCATTACCATTATGAGTATACAGTGGACCCCCGGTTTACGATATTATTTCATTCCAGAAGTATGTTCAGGTGCCAGTACTGACCGAATTTGTTCCCATAAGGAATATTGTGAATTAGATTAGTCCATTTCAGACCCCCAAACATACACATACAAACGCACTTACATAAATACACTTACATAATTGGTCGCATTGGGAGCTGATCGCAAACCGGGGGTCCACTGTATATACTTCTGTACATAGGTAGTAGGTAGGTAGACAGCAACCGCCCAGGGAGGTACTACCGTCCTGCCAAGTGAGTGTAAAACGAAAGCCTGTAATTGTTTTACATGATGGTAGGATTGCTGGTGTCCTTTTTTCTGTCTCATGAACATGCAAGTTTTCAGGTATGTCTTGCTACTTGTACTTACACTTAGGTCACACTACACATGCATGTACAAGCACATATATACACACCCCTCTGGGTTTTCTTCTATTTTCTTTCTAGTTCTTATTCTTGCTTATTTCTCCTATCTCCATGGGGAAGTGGAACAGAATTCTTCCTCCGTAAGCCATGCATGTTGTAAGAGGCGGCTAAAATGCCGGGAGCAAGGGACTAGTAACCTCTTCTCCTGTATATATTACTAAATGTAAAAGGAGAAACTTTCGTTTTTCCTTGTGGGCCACCCCTCCTCGGTGGGATACGGCCGGTGTGTTGAAAGAAAGATACTTCTGTACCTGATAATCAAGTGATGTGCAATTTTCAGGAGAGGGTAACTATGGTAATGCTGAAATGTTTCGGTCCAGAAGTTATACACAAAGCATTGTGCAAGTTAGAAAATTCAGCCAGATCAGGAAAGCTGTCTTCATATCTCCGACCAGAGCTGAAGAATCTTGTTTTACAACACATGCCAACTCTAAGATACTCGATCACCTTGCTGCATCGTATTCATCTGGCAACTTTTTATTTTTCTGGAGCATTTTATCATTTATCTAAAAGACTTACAGGAATCAAATATGTAAGTATGTATATAGCAAAAGATTCTTCTGCATGTTATGTGCTTCTTGTAAATATTCTGTAGATATTAATTCTGTTATTTATACTTCTGCATGGTGTGTGCTTCTTGTAAATATTCTGTAGATATTAATTCTGTTATTTATACTTAAAATTTTTATATAAATATAGATGGAAAAGGCTGCACAGGACTAATAATCTAATAATCTTTAATAATCATAGTGTTTTGCAGGCTTTTGTGGTCCCCATGATCACAAGTTGTACTTCTTTTTACATGACCTTTAGACTTTTCATCATGCAGTACTTACTAGTAACCACTTGGGAACATCCCCTTCTTCACCACCCTAGCAAACTAGCTTTTGGCAGCAATAATTCTATTTTACTACCCATTCTTCTTATTTCCCATAAACATTTTTCACAAAATATTAATCACTGAGATCAGGTATCTCTAGGTATATTATTGTTAAATTTATCAACTTAAATATTATCTTATACTGTTCTAACCTTTCTCTTCATAATAGTGGCCATTTAAATAAATAAAATAAGAAATGATTCTTCTGAGGGCATACATTTTACAGGGTGGGGGATTACAGTATTTGTATTTGTAAATGCCTTGTGCTTGAACTTTCTATGAGAGGGCAGCCACAGCTGTGAAAACTCATTAAGTGCTGCCCTTCTATATTTGCTGTACATGGAGACTCATGCAGAAGCTTTTTTTCTGCTTACCTGAGATTTAAGATTACTCCCTGGAAGTATATACCAGTCACATTGAAGAGGGTCTGGGAGCAGTGAAAAGACAAAAAAAAAATTGTATATCCTTTGTTGCCTGTTTTATCCTAGCCAAATATGACCCACTGATTAATTTGACAGGACCAACTTAATCTTCCGTTTACCTCTATCCACTCGCCAAAGAAATGCATTGCACACTTAAGAGATTGTAAACAAAAATGTGGGTCTCTATGCACAGCAAACATATGGAAGTAGTTCTTAGTCACTGTGGAAACCAGTGCAGCCTAAAACATCAACTAAGACTGTAATTTCCCCAGTGTGAAAAATGTTGTACCCTTATGGAGGTATAACATGGTAAACATTTTAATATTGTATAAATCTTTTTGAGATTCTGGAGAGAAGTTGCAAAGATAAATGGATGAATTTAGGAAGGTTTGTAAAAGAAGGAAATTTAAGTAAACAGAAAAAGAGCAGTGATGAGAGTAACAAACAATCTAAGCAATGAAAGATTGAATATTAGTTTGGAGGGGAGGAGAATACAGGAAGTGAATATAATCAGAGGTATTTGGGAGTGGATGTGTCAGCAGATGGGTCTGTGAAAGACAAGGTGGATCATAGAATAGATGAGGAGAAAAAGGTAGGCACTTTGTTTCTGTGGAAAGAAAGCCACTTACTTTTGAAGACAAAAGGGAAAAGTACCAGAGTATAGTGGTCCCAACACTTTTATGTAAGTGAGGCATGGGCTTTAAACATTACAGCGAGGATGAGGCTGTGAAGATGTCATGTTTGTGAGCAGTGTGTGGCATGAATATTATGCAGAAAATCTGAAGCATAGTAATTAAAAGATGGTCTGGGATTAACACTAAAGGTATAGTAATTCAGAGGGCTGAGGAGGGGTTTAGGCATATAGAGAGTAAGGAGCAGAATAGGATGACCAAGTGGGTTTATAAATGTGGGGTGGAATGAAGGAGGGGTAGGGGTTGTCCTAGGATGGGTTGGAGTGGGGGGTCCCTCAAGTATCCAGCAAGCTTGTGTGAGTGAGTTAGATTGGAATAAAGACAATTTTTTATGGCTAAAGTCATGTTGGAGTGTGAGCAAGTTAACTCAAGAAGGCAGGTAGGGAAAAAGGTTAGTAGGACATGAGTCTTGGAGGTGTGAAGTACAATGCCTGCACTCTGAATGAGAAACGGGGATATTGAAGTTTAGAGGGGCATTTGAATTGCGATGTCTGTGCACTTCTAGCAAGACATTGAATGATTTGTAGTGATTGTGTTTCCTTTTTATGGGTCACTCTATCTTAGGGAAAGATAGCCAGTATGTTAAAAAATATTAATATCTGCACTGGATACATTCATTTAATTCATCTTCAATGTTTGATTCATACAGGAAATCCAGGAACCATAAATTTATGACTTTTATGTACCATATTTGATTTGCTGCCTTACAAAAAAAGTACTCATCATGTTTTTTCACAGAGATAAAAAATTTATTTTTCAATTAGTATAAGTTAACATTAATTTTTCAAAATAAAAAATTATATGAATTTGGTCAAACTTTGATTTTTTCCTGATATTTATTAGTTACAATCAGACTCAATAATACAAGAAATTAAATAAAAATATATATTAGCAGTTTGGAGGGATATGTTGTGTATCTTTATACGTATATGCTTCTAAACTGTTGTATTCTGAGCACCTCTGCAAAAACAGTGATTATGTGTGAGTGTGGTGAAAGTGTTGAATGATGATGAAAGTATTTTCTTTTTGGGGATTTTCTTTCTTTTTGGGTCACCCTGCCTTGGTGGGAGACGGCCGACTTGTTAAAAAAAAAATGTATACTACTCTAATATATTTTCTTTACAAAAAAAAATTTCAGTGCACAGTGAATTAATATTTCCCCAATCTCAGTAGTATTAATAAAGATAAAATATAATCTTTACCATTGATTCACTGAGGATGGAACACATTTACACATTTTGGCTCGTGCATTACATTTTTTTTTTTTTTTTTTTTTTTTTTTTTTTTTTTTTTTTTTTTGCAAAATTGGTTGTGATTTATTTCTAAGATGAAGTAATTGAGAGTATTTTTTTACAGAGGGTTTTCCAAGTTTAGGTTAGGGTTCCTAACTTTACTTACAAGCTAAGAGCTGTTTCACGCACTGCAGGTTTTGGTACGTGAGTGGTTTGGGGACAACTCTGCTACCAGATCATTTCAAATCTTGGGAATGGTTCTCCTTACTCATATCATCTTGACTACTGTGTCTGCCATTTATACTCAGTTGTTTTTCAAACCCCCTCCGGAGAGTACACAACCATTAACAAGTAAGTGTTATCAAATCTGTCTGCTAAAGACAAATTAATGCAATAATAATTTTGTGCCCATCTACTGTATCATGTTTTTCAGTGATAAAGTACAATGCAGTACTGTACAGAGGAAATTCTTTGACTGTACATTACATGAAAAAGGTTACATTAGTGCTAATTTCAAATTAAGATAGTTACACTTATTCAGATTACTGTTTTATCACACATTTGAGATGAGATGGAGAGTACATGAGGAAGTTATGGGCCTTCTTCAGGTAACTCTCAATGGGTACTCTGGTAGAATGCCAGCATTTTTTATACAATAATGGAGTGGGCAGCAGCTAGATAACTTATTAAGCTAAGCTTGTGATGTCCTATCTTTGGTATTTGATTTATCATATAATTTTAATGTTTATAGCACTTGGAAATAAATGGTATAAAATACCGACACAATGGAAATATAAACACAAATGCAGTATAATGTGATCCTTTATTGACAACGTTTCACCCACACAGTGGGCTTTTTCAAGTCACACACGGATCTACCTGGGGTTGGAAGGTACGAGAGTATTTATAGTCAGAATTTTGAGGTCAGGTGGAGAATGCTGCATCTGATGATCTACCGGGTGGGGTTATAGAGTCTTGGGTAGCTTGGCAGGGGTATTGGACAAGTTGTAGACCTTCTGCAGTGTTCTATGTTCTTATGTGGGATAGCGATGAAGAAGTTTCTTGGCGAGTGGTTTAGCTATGTTATAGAAGCCATTGTATTGGTTGAAATTGTTGGTTATAGAGATAAGCGATGATTCCAGGATTCTTCTGTATTGAGTGTTGTCTTCTGTGGCTATAAGTCTTGAGTTTCTGTAGTTAATTAAATGGTTGTGTGAATTGCGATGTTGTACACAGGCATTCCTTGTATCGTCAGTCCTGCTTGCATATTGGTGTTCTGAAATGCGTGTTTGGAGGTCTCTTGATGTTTCGCCCACATATAATTTGTTGCAGTCATTACAAGGGATTATGTATACCCCTGCAGAGGATGGAGGCTTGTCCTGTCTACTACTGGTGATGTCCTTGATGGTCGTGGTTGTGGAGGTAGATACTTGGAATGATGTTTTGGCAAAGATGTTGGAAACATGTTTGGCAATGGAGTTGTTGGGGAGGACTATGTATCTCTTCTCGGCAGTGTCTTCTCTGGGTGTGTTGAAGATGTTTAATGCCCGCCGTCTGCAGTCTCTGATGAAGTGACGAGGATAGTGGAGTTTAGAAAATACTTGTTCAATTATAGTGCATTCTTCCTCAAGGAACTCATTGCTGCAGATTCTGAGTGCACGTAGGAAGAAGCCTATAATCACACCACGTTTGGTTTTGGTGTCATGGTGAGAGTAGAAGTGGAGAAGATCGTTTTGGTTGGTGGGTTTTTGATAGACTTTAAAACGAAGTTCGTGGTCAGCTTTGCAGAGCAGAACATCAAGGAAAGGAAGAGTGTTGTCGACTTCTTCTTCAAGTGTGAACTGGATTGAAGGCTCGACCTGGTTGAGCTTGTCTTGGAGAGCTTGAACGTTGAAGCGTTTAGGAGTTATGAGGAGAATGTCGTCAACATAACGGAGCCAGGTGACAGACGAAGGAATAATGGTGGAGAAACGTTCGGCTTCTAGATGTTCCATGTATAAGTTCGCCAGGACTGCACTGAGTGGCGAACCCATGGGTAGTCCAAAAGTCTGCTGAAAGAGGTGATTTTCGAAGGAGAAACACGTAAAGCCAACACATAGTTCAACAAGGTCGATGAAATCGCTGGCTGGAATGGGAAGATCAAGTGAATCGTCAATTTTCCTGCGCAAGAGATCGATGGCTTGTGTAGTAGGTACTTTGGTGAATAGGGAAGTCACGTCAAGGCTGGAAAGTTTCTTGTTCCTGATGTTGATGTTGCGAATGCGATTGAGAAGATCACCCGAGTGTTTGAGATGTGCTGGACTGATAGTGCCCAAGAGTTTAGAGAGGTGTTTGGCGAGAATTCCTGAGAGCTGGTGGGGAGCACTGCCTATTCCCGAGGATATGGGCCTCAGTGGGATACCAGGCTTGTGAGTCTTTGGCAGGCCGTACATTCTGGCAGGTCTGGGGTTGCTGGGCATGGTGTGCAGAAGTTTCTTCCCTTGTTCTGAGCCCCTCAAAATGCAGAAACTCAAGACTTATAGCCACAGAAGACAACACTCAATACAGAAGAATCCTGGAATCATCGCTTATCTCTATAACCAACAATTTCAACCAGAACAATGGCTTCTATAACATAGCTGAACCACTCGCCAAGAAACTTCTTCATCGCTATCCCACATAAGAACATAGAACACTGCAGAAGGTCTACAACTTGCCCAATACCCCTGCCAAGCTACCCAAGACTCTATAACCCCACCCGGTAGATCATCAGATGCAGCATTCTCCACCTGACCTCAAAATTCTGACTATAAATACTCTCGTACCTTCCAACCCCAGGTAGATCCGTGTGTGACTTGAAAAAGCCCACTGTGTGGGTGAAACGTTGTCAATAAAGGATCACATTATACTGCATTTGTGTTTATATTTCCGTTTATAGCACTTACTATTGTAACCTATTTCATTATTCTGTCACCCTATTTGTGAAGATCTCTCTTAGCAATGGAAATAAGTCACTCTGTCTGACTTTTTTGGGTTATCATAGGTTCTCTACACATATGCTGCTATGTATGATAATCTATGTAACTGTATTTGTGTATACCTGAATAAACTTACTTCTTTTCTGCAAGTTTTCTCAAGTTTAGACCTAAGAAAATCTTCCTTGTCCCTTCATATCCTTTTATAATATTACACTGTTTGTGGTTATTATGAGGCCATGTCTAATGCTTTTAGCCATTTTTCTTAATATTTTTTAAAATTCTGGGAGCCCTTTTGTAGCTCATCCTAAGATTTATTTAAGTTCACCCATTTTTTTTTTTAAAGCGTAGATGCCATGCCATAGCTCCATATTTTAATTTTGATCTGACACATGCTGTAAACAAGATTTTTAGCATATCCACATTTATAAATGCTATTTTAAAGTTGGCTAGTGTATTATTACTAGTATTATTATTGTTATTGTTATGGGGAAGCGCTACACCCATAGAAGTCATATATTGCCTGAGGAATGTGAGGCATGAGGTTGATCAAGTCCTTCGCTGACATCAAAGTATCTTTCTTGAAGGGTTGGCTAGTGAAGCACTGGAGTGCTTTTTATGATTTTATTAATATGATCTTAAGTTAATGATGGCTCGTAGAACCCTCTGTTAAAGGCATTTAAAATTTTATCACAGGATCTATATTCTTTGTGTGGCATATTTTCACTTTCTTATATCCATTAAATGTAATTTTTTCACATTAAAATCCATTGACCATCTGTCACTCGACTTCTCCACAAGATACACCAGCATAAGTTATTTTGGCCACATTACTAAAGGTATTTATAGTTGCCACAGGCATGGCATATGAAGGTCTTTACATTGAAAGATAGGTACTGTAAGCCTTGTATCTTTTGATAACTTCTTAAATCTGCTATACTCTTCCTGGCACTGTATGCTCCGTGTGGGTTTAGCGACGTACTCATTTACCGACAACTCGGACTTACGACGGGCTTTCTGACCAGTTTGAATACCTAAATAATGTATATTAGAGCTGATTTCCTCTATTCTTTTTATTACAGTATACAGTACACTACTGTATAAACATTTAAAAATATACTAGAAATGTTTTAAATGGTGCAAAAGTAACATTAAAATAATATCAAAGATGGCTGACGCAAACCCACTGCCATTATAATGTGCTCCTTGTTTAGTGATGAATTTGTTTACCAACATGGTCTTAGGAACAGAACAAAACAAATAACCCGCACATAGTAGAGAGGTGCTTATGACAACGTTTTGGTCCAACTTGGGCCATTTACAAAGTCACACTAACAAAAAGGAGAGAAGGAAGGAGTATATGTAGGCCAGCAGACATTGACGGGAGCAAGAGAGGTGGTGGTGGAGGTGGTAGCAGTAGTGGTAGTGGAGTCAGTCAAATACTAAGAAAGAGGAGCACTGCAAGGGAGCTGGGGGCCCACAGAGGGTAGGAGCAAGGACACAGAGGGGGAAAAAATGATAATAAAGGAGAAATACCCAAGGCAGAAGAAAGAAAACCCAAAGGAGAAAGAGGAAAAGGGAAGAGGGAGAAGGGAAAAAAAGAATCAGGTTAAGTCACGGATGTTCTGAAGTTTGGAGCATTTTACAATGTACATAATGGGAAAGGAAGGCATCTGCAGAGACACAGTCAGGACTAAGATACATACAAAGTTGTGTATAAGGGAGGATTCAACCAAACGGCAACTGTGAAAGTTAGAAGTAGGGTAGACAGTTTTAGCAGAAGACCAGTCAGTAGGGTGACTGTGATCTCTGACATGTGCGGGTTATTTGTGTATTGTTCCAGTCTTGGTATTGTGCCTTTTTTGTTATTTTAGGAATGAAACTCTGTCGTTAAGCGAGGAGAGGCTGTATAAGATTTTAACTGAGCATTACAGTCCAAGCTGTGGGCAGTACCATTCACTGCTATGACTTTAGTGCAAAAAACATGCATCCTTTAGATCTGGATTCATAAGGTATGAAGTTATATTGTGGCAAAATCTTGACACAAGCATATTTGTTATCAAAAACATTCTTAGTAGTGCTCAGAAAGTGTAAGAAATCTTTAAGATTTGCAAAGAGACTGGCTATCTTTAACCCTTTGACTGTTTCAGGCCCCTTTCTGAAACTCATTCTATGTCGCTAAATTTAAAAAAAAAATTATTTTTTCTTATGAAATGATAGAGAATCTTTTCCCGATGGTAATGACACCAAAAGTTCGAAATTTGGTCGAAAACTCATGGAATTATGCTCCCGCGAAGTTAGCGGTCTCGGCGACATATGCGTATCGGCGATTTCGCCGACTTTGAGCCCTATTTTCAGCCAATTCTGTTGTTCCAGTTGACCAAACTCATAGCTATTTCTTTAGAACTCCATTTTATCTATCAGCTGAGTACAAGAAACCTCCCATTTACCAATTTGGACTACCCAATATTGTGGTCAGAAATTGGCAATTTGGCCAATTTCACGCAAACTAAAAAAGATGCCAATTTCAAAATAGGGTCCAGAATAAACAAGGTAGACATTCTTGGCACTAAAATAACATATCCTCTGTTCATTAGTCACATCTCTAGGCCCCTCTTTTATTATTATTGATTTCTATTTTGATTTTTTATTCATACAAAAAAATACAAAATTTACTGTTATGCAGACTACTGCATTATTGTAAAAATGGTATAAATAATATCAGTGCACTAGTGAAAGAACATTAGACTCCCCAGTTGACGTGTATTGGACGTGTGGTGTGATTTGTTTACTCCTGAACATTGGTAAAAATCGAACATTTCCGCTACTTTGAGCTCAGTTTCAAGGTCGTTTTCATCGTCAAAGTAATAAAAATCATCTCTATTTCTGTAATATGTTTTCCATTTTATCACCGAAGACCATGAAAACGCAAATACATTGATAAATACTATACGAAAATACAGTGGACCCCCGGTTAACGAACTTTTTTCATTCCAGTAGTATGTTCAGGTGCCAGTACTGACCGAATTTTTTCCCATAAGGAATATTGTGAAGTAGATTAGTCCATTTCAGACCCCCAAACATACACGTACAAACGCACTTACATAAATACACTTACATAATTGGTCACATTTGGAGGTAATCGTTATGCGGGGGTCCACTGTACACCTCAAAGTCGGCGTTTTAATCCAAAAAACAATCAGTTTTTTTTTTTTCTCATTATGCACTGTGTGCTGCAGGATTTTTTTTATGTGGTGCACACTGACCACACAGACCCATTCTCTCACATGTGGGCCTACCAGCCTTCTTCCGCTTGATTTGAAACCGCTAGAATTATTGAGTATATATATGTCAGAAACACTGGCTCGTAAGACGTATATATACGACCAAAACAGTCAAAGTGTTAAGAGAGGAAAATGTGGGAAAAGAAAGAGAAACTATTTTTTTTTTTTTTTTTTTTTTTTTACAAATCCGCCATTTCTCACCACTGTAGATATACAGTACTAAATTGGATGGGGTGACACTATCTCAGAGAAATGCAAGCTACCAGGAGCCAGTTGACAGTCTTCTAGGAAGAGGCATTTCCAAAGCCTAGTTGCTTACCTTGTGTCAAATAAGTATTTTAAACCATACAGTGCAAATTATTAAAAGATAATGATAATTGGCTCCTATAAGAACCAAATGCAGGCCAATGTTAAAGAAGTTCCTTTGTTCCTAAGGGGCTCACTGACTAAAGAACTCTCGGCCCGCATTTGTGTAGAGACCTTACCCAGTGTCTATCAGTTAACATTTAACCATCCATCATAGGATTTCCCAGTGGCTTCTCTTATGGTTGACAAGAGCCAACATCCCACATAGAAGTCGAAGTCCTGTCAGTGGTAGCCAAGGTGGCAGGAGAGGCCCCATCTGACACGTCAACCCAACTGTGCCTTTCGAGTCATAGAAAATAACAAAAAAAGGCACAATACCATGACTGGAACAATACACAAATAGAAACAATACAAGTCACCACTTTCCCTCTCAAAATTGTGATAAAGGTGCTGTCTTAGAATGAGATATAACTTTAAAAAAAATTATTTGTGAACACCTAGTATTTTTAGTGAATTCTAAATATTAGGTTTCATTATTGCATATATGTTGGCAAAGATACAGGTGCTAGGAACCAAGCTGTTCTGTAATCTACATAGATATAAATTCTGGGGGGGGTCAAGTATAAATACTGTAATGTCTTGAAATGTTCTCTGTCATTTTCATAGAAATATAGTTATATTATTTTCTTTTTTCTGACATTGTAAGAATGTTACGTAGAGAGCAAAAAACAATGTTCTCTATGTCTTGATGAGCGCAAGCATTCATCGGTTATGCCCTGTGGACACTTGTTCTGCTGGCAGTGTATCCAGGAGTGTCTGCAGACAAGCCAGCAGTGTCCACTCTGCAGACATCCAGCAACACCTGCTCAGGTAGTCCCCCTTCTTAACTATGACTGACTTGCAGTATTATATTTTTTCAATTGAATATATTCATAAGTTTGTAATTACTGTTAAATATATTTTGATGTATATACAGTACAGTTTTGTACTATCAGTATAAAATTTTGTAATGTGTGTTATTGCCATAATGTTTATTGTAGAGATAATATATTCAGAGGAAGTATCAAGTGCATTATTATTCTTGCAGTCAAAACTAATTGCTAAACCCACAAGGGTCATACAGCTCTGCAGTATCAAATGCAGCTTCAGCAAACTACAGTATGTTGTTATCTTATGTAGCTTTATACAGTGGTACCTCGAGTTTTGAACAGCTCCCAACTCGAACAATTATGTAAGTGTATTTTTGGGGGTCTGAAACAGACTAATCTAATTTACGTTATTCTTTATGGGAACAAATTCGTTCGGTATCGGCACTTGAAGAGCCATCTGGAACGAATTAAGTTCATAACTCGAGGTACCACCTTATTTTAATTTTTTCCAGGTACAAAGTTTGATTCTCTTGATATACTATAAAGATTAAACTCAGGTGTGTGAAAGGCTAGTGAAGTGCTCCTTCTTATAGTTAAGAATGTATATTAACATTAAATTTTTTGCTGTAAGTTTTAATACAGTTCCTGTTATAAAATGTTTTCAGTTAAGACCCATGCTGTTTAAATACCCTTTTTAACATGATATACTGTACCAGAACTAAATTGTATGTAGGAGAGTATTCAAAGATTTAGTATACAATACTGCAAAATTTAAGATTCTATGTTAACTTAAATAATATATTTTTACAAAGGTAATTGTATGTATGAAGATACCGTACATTGAAAAATCTACATATAAAGGTGTACAATAAAAATAGTATTAAAATACACTTATAACAATACATTGCATTACCGTCAGGTAAAGCTCTAGACTTGTTAGGATAATGTAAACAAAAAATTTCCATATTTAATGTTTTATTACAAATAATCATGTGATTTTAAATACTCTGGCTGTTCCATCATCTGATGCTGTGATGAGTGTAGAACCATCCCTGAAAAAGAAGCATGTAAGAATTAAAGAAAAAATCTAAGTACTTTGTATGAATCCAAGTACAGTACATGTATACAGGTTGAAGAACACCATAAGGTATAATCAATTTAATAACAAGACCAACTTAACATATTACAAGTAGAACAATAAGAAAAACACATACTTCAAGTCTTGTGTATTTAATTATAGTTCAAAAGAAGACTACCATATCTTACTTGCTGATGTCAAATGCCAGTATAGAGCTTCTGTGTCCTGTATATTTGTCAAGAAGTTCTCCTGATCGAACATCATAGGAGTGTGCAGTACCATCCAGCCCAGCAGAGAACAAAACTGGCTCACTTGGATGCCACAGTAGCTTTGATGATCCACATCCTTGAGTTATAACATGTCGGCTAACCTATTCATAAACAAAAATAATGACCAAGGGATTATCATAATTATTATAATAATGATAATCAAGCTAAATGCTAAACTTGCCCAAGGACTACACATAAAATCAACTGTTACTATTTAGGGATATTATTATGGATAGAATGCAGTGATGATTTATTTACTATTATGCTAATGAGTGAAAACCCCTTAGGAGAGTGTTCGTTGATGCTTTTGAGCAGCTCTATATCCAAGGAATTGGGTTTTTGGTTTTCCTTGGATTGAGCTTGATTGCCTCCCATTCCTCAGGTGCTGTGACTCATATAGGTATAATGCTTCCCCTCAATATAATACAGTGTGTGAAAAGTGTTATAAAATAGGTATCGCTAATTATCTTTTAACACATATAGCCTAAAAGAAATACGTACTTGCTTACTTTTTCCTGATGACCTCTCAATCCATGAAATTTGGAAATGGCATCTATGTATTACGAGGTGCCTGAGTGAATAGTCACTGAATGTTTTAAATTTTGTTTAATTTGTTTTAAAGACTATGTAACAAAAATCGAAGTAAGAGTAGCTGGGAAGAGATACAAATGTGTCCCCCAAAGCTGGGACACCTTTATGTTGGAGAGGGAGAAGGAAGAAAGGATTCCATGGATTATGTTGAGAGACTAATTTCCTGAGATATCCTTGGGCAAAGAACCTATCCTCTTTGGGTTTAAGTGGCAAAGGATACGTCCTCATTTGTTCAAATAAACAGCATTTGCATTTTACCATGGATAACATTAATAAATATAATATATACACTGCTAATGTTATTCCATAAAATGGAATAACTAGAATAAGTAAGATTGTTATCAATTTATACATGCCACTATTACACCCTGCCTGGCTTCTCTCTCTAAGAGCAAGATACTGGCCTGTCTTGTTGCAAACCTGTATATCACACTGTTACTGAGTCCAAAGTGTTATATAAATAGCAAAGCTAACTACCATTATAATGGTGATGCTTTATTTATGAAAGTATGAAACCAATTCACTCATCTCTATGAATGATCATAAAATAATATACTGTACCTACACTGTATTTAGATTTATGATAATTATTAATTAATATGAGTATATATAGTTCAGTGATTAATTTTTATTGAATCATTAATGCCTAATTATAACAAACTTATTCTAAAAAAAATGAGTTAAGCCTACTGTATACACAGTAACCTTGGCAAAATAATTTTGGAAAGTTTTATAAGAATAAACATTTAATCAGGCTTTTGTTATAGTCATCGTAGTTGTAAAACAATGTACACTAGGAGAAATCACAAATGAAGAATAATTTAAAAAAAAAATGAGAGGAATTTCTAGTACTGACGGTACTGTGAAGTTGAAAAAAAAAAAACAGAAATTGAGAAAACAGACTATGAAGAAATATCCCAGAGGAAATACAAAAAATGAGAGAAAGACGACTACTAACCTGTGAAGCAACATCCCAGATTGTGATATAACCAGCTAAAGTTGCAGTGACAGCAATACCGGGCATCGCTGGACAGAAACTAACTGCCTCCACTGTATGATCAATCTCTGCATTGGTCTCTTCAGAGTCTGGTGTCACTTCACAGTTGAGTGTGCCAATAATCTGCATTGTGGAATATATATAATGGAATGATGTAATGAAAATATACTCAATTCTTATGAACTCACAGATAAAATTCTTAAAGTAATGAATAAGAACATAAGAACGAAGGAACACTGCAGCAGGCCTACTGGCCCATGCGAGGCAGGTCCAAGTCTCCTAACGGCTTAAGCCAATGCACCCAACCTAGTCAGGTCAGGTCACATTGACTTAAGGGAGGAACACGGCAACTGACCTGGTAGCACAAGCTAATCAGGTCCAACTCACACCCACTCATGTATTTATCCAACCTATTTTTAAAGCTACACAACATTCTGGCCCTCTATAACTGTACTTGGGAGTTTGTTCCACTCATCCACAACTCTATTACCAAACCAGTACTTTCCTATATCCTTCCTGAATCTGAATTTTTCCAACTTAAAACCATTGCTGCGAGTCCTGTCTAGGCTAGATATTTTCAGCACACTATTTACATCCCCCTTTTTTTATTCTGTCTTCCATTTATACACCTCAGTCATATCCCCCCTAATTCTACGTCTTTCTAGAGAGTGCAGATTTTAAGGCCCTTAGTCTATCCTCTTTGGGAAGGGTTTTGATACATGGGATCAACTTTGTCATCCTCCTTTGTACATTTTCCAGAGCATTTATATCCATTCTGTAATACGGTGACCAAAACTGTGCAGCATAATCTAAATGAGGCCTAACCAAGGATGTATAGAGTTCAAGAACAACCTGAGGACTCCTATTATTTATGCTTCTTGATATGAAGCCAAGGATTCTATTAGCTTTATTGCGAACACTTATGCACTGTTGTCTTGGTTTCAGATTACTGCTAACCAGAACTCCTAAATCTTTTTCGCAATCCGTAATATTAAGATCTACATTATTTAGTTTATATTTGGTATGGTTAGAAGTAAATGCGAGGGTCTTGGCAAGAGGCGTGGAGTTAAAAGATAAAGAATCACACATAAAGTGGGAGTTGTCACAGTTGCTCTTTGCTGATGACACTGTGCTCTTGGGAGATTCTGAAGAGAAGTTGCAGAGATTGGTGGATGAATTTGGTAGGGTGTGCAAAAGAAGAAAATTAAAAGTGAATACAGGAAAGAGTAAGGTAATGAGGATAACAAAAAGATTAGGTGATGAAAGATTGGATATCAGATTGGAGGGAGAGAGTATGGAGGAGGTGAATGTATTCAGATATTTGGGAGTGGACGTGTCAGCGGATGGGTCTATGAAAGATGAGGTGAATCATAGAATTGATGAGGGGAAAAGGGTGAGTGGTGCACTTAGGAGTCTGTGGAGGCAAAGAACTTTGTCCTTGGAGGCAAAAGAGGGGAATGTATGAGAGTATAGTTTTACCAACGCTCTTATATGGGTGTGAAGCATGGGTGATGAATGTTGCAGCAAGGGAAGGCTGGAGGCAGTGGAGATGTCATGTCTGAGGGCAATGTGTGGTGTGAATATAATGCAGAGAATTCGTAGTTTGGAAGTTAGGAGGAGGTGCGGGATTACCAAAACTGTTGTCCAGAGGGCTGAGGAAGGGTTGTTCAGGTGGTTCGGACATGTAGAGAGAATGGAGCGAAACAGAGTGACTTCAAGAGTGTATCAGTCTGTAGTGGAAGGAAGGCGGGGGTAGGGGTCGGCCTAGGAAAGGTTGAAGGGAGGGGGGTTAAAGGAGGTTTTGTGTGCAAGGGGCTTGGACTTCCAGCAGGCATGCGTGAGCGTGTTTGATAGGAGTGAATGGAGACAAATTTTTTTTAATACTTGACGTGCTGTTGGAGTGTGAGCAAAGTAACATTTATGAAGGGGTTCAGGGAAACCGGCAGGCCGGACTTGAGTCTGGAGATGGGAAGTACAGTGCCTGCACTCTGAGGAGGGGTGTTAATGTTGCAGTTTAAAAACTGTAGTGCAAAGCACCTTTCTGGCAAGACAGTGATGGAGTGAATGATGGTGAAAGTTTTTCTTTTTCGGGCCACCCTGCCTTGGTGGGAATCGGCCAGTGTGTATAATAAAAAAACTAAATAATATATATATATATATATATATATATATATATATATATATATATATATATATATATATAGATAGGTTAGTAGGTTGGTAGACAGCAACCACCCAGGGAGGTACTACCATCCTGCCAAGTGAGTGTAAAATGAAAGCTGTAATTGTTTTACATGATGGTAGGATTGTGGTTGTCTTTTGTCTGTCTCATAAATATGCAAGATTACAGGTACGTCTTGCTACTTCTACTTACACTTAGGTCACACTACACATACATGTACACGTTTATTTATACACACTCATCTGAGTTTTCTTTGATTTTATCTTAATAGTTCTTGGTCTTATTACTTTTCCTTTTATATCCATGGGGAAGTGGAATAAGAATCTTTCCTCCGTAAGCCATGCGTGTTGTAAAAGTCAACTAAACTGCCGGGAACAATGGGCTAGTAACCCCTTTTCCTGTAAAGATTAGTAAAAAGAATAAGAAGAAGAAAATTGTCAAAGTGGGAAGTCTGAATGTGCGTGGATGTTGTGCAAATGATAAGAAAGAGATGATTGTGGATGTTATGAATGAGAAGAAACTGGATGTCCTGGCTTTAAGTGAAACAAAGCTGAAGGGGGTGGGAGAGTTTCAATGGAGAGGAATAAATGGGATTAGGTCAGGGGTTTCAAATAGAGTTAGAGCTAAAGAAGGAGTAGCAATAATGTTGAAGGATAAGCTATGGCAGGAAAAGAGGGACTATAAATGTATTAATTCAAGGATTATGTGGAGTAAAATAAAGATGGGATGTGAAAAGTGAGATATAATAAGCGTGTATGCACCTGGAGAAGAGAGAAGTGTAGAGGAGAGAGAGAGATTTTGGGAAATGTTTAGTGAATGCGTGGGAGGTTTTGAATCAAGTGTGAGAGTAATGTTGGTTGGGGATTTCAATGCTAAAGTGGGTAAAAATGTTAGAGGGAGTAGTAGGTAAATTTCGGGTGCCAGGGGTAAATGTAAATGGGGAGCCTTTAATTGAGCTATGTGTAGGAAGAAATTTGGTAATAAGTAATACATATTTTATGAAAAAGAGGATAAATAAAATATACAAGTTATGATTGTAGCACGTAATGAAAGTAGTTTGTTAGATTATGTATTGGTGGATAAAAGGTTGATGGGTAGGCTCCAGGATGTACATGTTTATAGAGGGGCAACTGATATATCAGATCATTATTTAGTTGTAGCTACAGTTAGAGTAAGAGGTAGATGGGAAAAGAGGAAGGTGGCAACAACAAGTAAGAGGGAGGTGAAAGTGTATAAACTAAGGGAGGAGGAAGTTCGGGCGAGATATAAGCGACTATTGGCAGAACAGTGGGCTAGTGCAAAGATGAGTAGTGGGGGGGTTGAAGAGGGTTTGAATAGTTTTAAAAATGCAGTATTAGAATGTGGGCAGAAGTTTGTGGTTATAGGAGGGTGGGGGCAGGAGGAAAGAGGAGTGATTGGTGGAATGATGAAGTAAAGGGTGTGATAAAAGAGAAAAAGGTAGCTTACGAGAGGTTTTTACAAGCAGAAGTGTTATAAGAAGAGCAGAGTATATGGAGAGTAAAAGAAAGGTGAAGAGAGTGGTGAGAGAGTGCAAAAGGAGAGCAGACGAAAGAGTGGGAGAGGGCACTGTCAAGAAATTTTAATGAAAATAAGAAAAAATTTTGGAGTGAGTTAAACAAGTTAAGAAAGCCTAGGGAAAGTATGGATTTGTCCGTTAAAAACAGAGTAGGGGAGTTAGTAGATGGGGAGGAGGGAGGTATTAGGTAGATGGCGAGAATATTTTGAGGAACTTTTAAATGTTGAGGAAGAAAGGGAGGTGGTAATTTCATGCACTGGCCAGGGAGGTTATACCATCTTTTAGGAGTGAAGAAGAGCAGAATGTAAGTGTGGTGGAGGTACGTGAGGCATTACGTAGAATGAAGGGGGTAAAGCAGCTGGAAACTGATGGGATCATGACAGAAATGTTAAAAGCAGGGGGGATATAGTGTTGGAGTGGTTGGTACTTTTGTTTAATAAATGTATGAAAGGGGGAAGGTACCTAGGGATTGGCGGAGAGCATGTATAGTCCCTTTATAAAAAGGGAAAGGGGACAAAAGAGTTTGTAAAAATTATAAGGAATAGTTTACTGAGTATACCGGGAAAAGTATAGGTGGGTTAAATTAAAAGAATTAGAGGTAAGACAGTGTAAAATTGCGGATGGCAAGGAGGCTTCAGGTGGGAGGGGAGTGTGATCAAGTGTTTAAAATTGAACTATATGTGAACATTTTTGATAAAGGTGGGGAAAATTTTTTTTGCATTTAGTTTTAAAAAAAGGCATATGTAGAGTGGAAGGGAAAATGTGGCGATTTTGCAAGTTTAGGGAAAATGGGGTGGTAATTACAAAAATTGCTGTAAAGGCTTTTATGGGATGGAGGTCAGGTTGGGGTGTGTAAAAGAGGGGAAATATTCCCCGGTAAAAGTAGGTCTTGACAGGGATTGTATGTCACCATGGTTTTTTAAATATATTTATAGATGGGTTGTAAAAGAAGAAATGCTAGGGGGTTTGGGGGAGGGGGGGAGATTAAAATTTGGGAACAAATTCAAAAAGGGAATTGACACAGTTACTTTTTGCTGATGTACTTGCTTTTGGGAGATTCTAAAGAAAAAATTGCAAAGGTTATGGTGAGTTTGAGATGTGTGTAAAGGGGAAAGTTTAAAATGAACTAGAAAAGAGTAAGGTGTGAGGGTTCAAATGATTTAGATAAAAAAATTGGATATCAAATTGGGAGGAGGGGTATGGAAGAAGTGTGTTTTCAGATACTTGGGAGTTGAGTGTTGGCGGGTGGTTTATAAGGATTTGGGGTTAATCATAGAATTTATGAGGGGGAAAAAAAGGGGAGTGGTGCGTTGGGTTATGTGGGGTCAAAAAAAAGTTATTTTGGAGGGAAGAAGGGAATGTATGAAAGTATAGTATACCCAAAACCCCTTTTAGGAGTGAAGCTTGGGTGGAAATGCAGCAGCGAGGAGACGGTTGGGCAGTGGAGAGTCCGTCTAAGGGTAATGTGTGGTGTAAATATTTTGCAGAAAAATTGGAGTGTGGAAATTAGGGAAGGTGTGGAGTTAATAAAACATTTGTCAGAGGGCAGAAGGGGGTTTTGAGGTGGTTTGGTCATTTGGAGAAAAGGATCAAAGTAGAAGGGCATGGGAAAACATATAAAACATAGGGGAAGAAAAAAGGGGGTAGGGGTCGTCCCCCGAAAGGGTTGGAAAGAGGGGGTTTTAAAGGGGGTTTTGTGGGCGAGGGGCTTGGGTTCCAGCAAACTGCATGAGCGTGTTAGATAAGGAATGGAACGAATGATATTGGGACCTGCGATTGTTTTGGGGGTGAGCAGGGAAAATTTAGTGAAGGGATTCGGGGAAAAACCGGTTATTTTCATATAGTCGGATTTGAGTCCTGGAAATGAGAAGTACAATGCCTGCACTTTAAAGGAGTGGTTTGGGATATTGGCAGTTTGGAGGGATATGTTTGTGTATCTTTTAACGTATATGCTTCTAAACTGTTGTATTGTGGGCACCTCTGCAAAGGCAATGATAATTGTGTGAGTGTGGTTGAAAGTGTTTAATGATGATGAAAGTTTTTCTTTTGGGGATTTTCTTTCTTTTTTGGGGCACCCTGCCTCGGTGGGAGACGACCGACTTGTTGAAAAAAAAAAAATATATATATATATATATATATATATATATATATATATATATATATATATAATAATATATATATATATATATATAATATATATATATATATATATACAGTGGACCCCCGGTTACGATTTTAATCCGTGTATGAGGGCTCATCGTTATGCGAAATTAAACGTTATGCGAAGAAATTTTTCCCCCTAAGAAATAATGGAAATAAAATTAATCCGTGCAGAAACGCCCAAAAGTATGAAAAAAATTTTTTTTTACCACATGAAATGTTAATTTTTAATACACACAAACTGAAAAAGGCATGCACAATTACATGACACTTACTTTTATTGAAGATCTGGTGATGATTGATGGGATGGGAGGAGGGGAGAGCATTTTCTTCTTACTGTTTAGAAGGGGAATCCCCTTCCATTAGGACTTGAGGTAGCAAGTCCTTTTCTGGGGTTACTTCCCTTCTTCTTTTAATGCCACTAGGACCAGCTTGAGAGTCACTGGACCTCTGTCGCACAACAAATCTGTCCATAGAGCTCTGTACCATCCGTTCCTTCAAGACTTTCCTAAAATGGGCCAAAAACATTGTCATTGAAATAGTCACCACACGGCTTGCAACAGCTGTGTCAGGGTGTTTTTTTCATCTATAAAGGGTTTTTGCAGTTAAACCCACTGTGCACACATTTCCTTAATCTTTGAAGTAGGCACAATGGATTCCACAACTGGCATAGGCTTCTCAGGGTTAGCCCAAACCCTTCAAAATCTTTCTTAATTTCCATACTAATTCTCACCCTTTTTACCACAGGGTTGGCACTAAGAAGTTTTTCTTGGGGCCCATGGTCACTTATTTTCCAGAAACAGCACCGAAAACACTGTAATAATACGAAATATTTCCGAGTGTATGCTTGGTGTTACCGCGGAGGCTGGCTGGGAAACAATGGGGCGGCCGGCACATGTGAGGCACATTGGACGCGTCTCGGACGAAAATCGGTAAGCGGGTTTTTAAACGGTATTTCGCGGCAAAAATTTTGCGATAAAAGTAATCGGTATGGGGGAAAAATCGCTATGTGATGCCCATCGTTATCGGGGGTCCACTGTATATATATATATTATATATATAATTTTATATATATATATATAATATATATATATAATATATATATATATATATATTATATATATATAAAAATTTTTTTTTTTTTTTTTTTTTTTCAACAAGTCGGCCGTCTCCCCCGAGGCAGGGGGACCCAAAAAAGAAAGAAAATCCCCCAAAAAGAAATACTTTCATCATCATTCAACACTTTTACCACACTCGCACATTATCACTGTTTTTGCAGAGGTGCCAGAATCAACAGTCTAGAAGATACACATATAAAGATACACAACAATATCCCTCCAAACTGCCAATATCCCAAACCCCTCCTTTAAAGTGCAGGCATTGTACTTCCCCTTTCCAGGACTCAAGTTCCGACTATATGAAAATAAACGGTTTCCCCCGAATCCCCTTCACTAAATATTACCCTGCTCACACTCCAACAGATCGTCAGGTCCCAAGTACCATTCGTCTCCATTCACTCCTATCTAACACGCTCACGCACGCTTGCTGGAAGTCCAAGCCCCTTACCCACAAAACCTCCTTTATCCCCTCTCTCCAACCCTTTCGAGGACGACCCCTACCCCGCCTTCCTTCCCCTATAGATTTATATGCTTTCCATGTCATTCTACTTTGATCCATTCTCTCTAAATGACCAAACCACCTCAACAACCCCTCTTCTGCCCTCTGACTAATACTTTTATTAACTCCACACCTTCTCCTAATTTCCACACTCCGAATTTTCTGCATAATATTTACACCACACATTGCCCTTAAACAGGACATCTCCACTGCCTCCAACCGTCTCCTCGCAGGGTAATATTTAGTGAAGGGATTCAGGGAAACCGGTTATTTTCATATAGTCGGACTTGAGTCCTGGAAATGGGAAGTACAATGCCTGCACTCTAAAGGAGGGGTTCGGGATATTGGCAGTTTGGAAGGATATGTTGTGTATCTTTATAAGTAGTATATGCTTCTAAGCTGTTGTGTTCTGAGCACCTCTGCAAAAACAGTGATTATGTGTGAGTGAGGTGAAAGTGTTGAATGACGATGAAAGTATTTTCTTTTTGGGGATTTTCTTTCTTTTTTGGGTCACCCTGCCTCGGTGGGAGACGGCCGTCTTGTTAAAAAAAAAAAAAAAGCAGTTACAGTTGTTATAAAAAAGAATGTGAATGCCCTAGTGCCCTCTGGTACTAGTAACACATTCTTATGTTTTTATGCATTATTTCCTAAACAGCCCAATATATATAGGTGCCTGACTTCTAATGCCACTACACATTTCCATAGATTTGCCCATATTGATATTTCTCTCACAATATTGCCCATTATTTTATGCACTTCATTTTACAGACTAAGCACTGTTAACCTTCCTCAGCTTATTTCAAAGCCAAGCCCTAGTTATAGCATACCACTCAATAGGATGACCCACAACAATTGAATAAAACCCAGGTATTTATTTTGTTACTTAAACATTGGGTGTCAGGAGAATTGCCAATTTGTTTCCCTTGCCCAAGAATCAAACCCAGGACTTGCATCTTGACAGTACAATATGGTAGAACAACTTTTGTGTCTTCACAGACATTTAGAATATATAACATGAATTTCAGAGGTGTCAATACAGTAGCATGTATTTTAAGCTGACCTTTCCAGTATTAGTGTTGTATAATTTGGCTGTGCCATCCAGGGAGCCTGATATAACAAGCGTGTTGTCCTTGTGAACAGCAAGGCTGGCAATAGGAGCAGTATGTGCCAAGCCATCACTAAACTGCTGCACCAGCTGCCCACTCTTCAGATCAAATACACGCAAAGAACCATCTTCATAACCTGCAACCGAACGCTTACCTGAAAACAAAGTCGAATAACTATAGTAATGCATATTGTTGATGGGAATTATCAACAGCGTTTTAAAAACTATTATATCAATTTTACTTAAACTTTTTAAATATTTTTTTACATGTCTTAATCTTCAACTAGTTGGTACTGTATACCATTACTATAATGAAGCATCAATGAGTCTGATCAGAAAGTAAGGAATGATGTAACAGGGACTAAAGAACTTGAGTTTGATTTTGATACATGTCATGAAAGAGTGGTTAATTTTTACTGTATTTTACGGCGAGCAAGATGCTCTGGTTCCAAGAACAAACCTCCTCTTCCCCCCACCCCTCCTCCAATTCTGATTGCCTAAATTTTGGAAAAAAAAAAAAAAAAAAAAAAGATATACGGTACTATGGCCTCCAAGATGCTGGGTAAATTTTTGAGACTTATTTTGGGAAAAAAAATAGGATCTTCGCGCCATGAAATACGGTATTGTAATCCTCTGTCTGCTTATCATGAGAGGTATACTACTAAACAGTAGATCACCTAGTTTTAATATTTAAAAAATATGAAGACATACGGCAAAAAAAAATTTTTTTTTAACAAGATGACCGTCTCCCACCTAGGCAGAGTGACCCAAAAAAGAAAGAAAATCCCCAAAAAGAAAATACTTTCATCATCATTCAACGCTTTCACCTCACTCACACACAATCACTGTTTTTGCAGAGGCGCTCAGAACACAACAGTTTAGAAGCATATACGTATAAAGATACACAACATATCCCTCCAAACTCCTAATATCCTGAACCCCTCCTTTAGAGTGCAGGCATTGTACTTCCCATTTCCAGGACTCAAGTCCTGTCCAGCTTCTTCTCATTCATAACATCCACAATCATCTCTTTCTTATCATTTTCACAACATCCATGCACATTCAGACTTCCCACTTTGACAATTTTCTTCTTATTCTTTTTAGTAATTATTACAGTATGTAAAATGCAATCTAAAATGTTGTATAGTAATAAGCATTGCAACACTGGATGGCCCATATGGGTTTAGTGCTGTTTGGTGGCTATCATAAAAGTAAAATGTAGAGCATGAACACTGAGCTATCTTACCATCCTGTAGCAGTGCTCCACATTGAGAGTTTATACCATAACTAGGAAAGGTACGAGCATTGCCTTGCGGTACAAGCCACATCCACATCTCTCCTTCTGCAGTTCCTGCTAGCAACACGCGTGAAGCATGATGCCATGTTAACCACTGGAAAAAGTATTAAACTAATGTCATAGGTAACACTGAAGATTCTATACTTAACAAGCTGCACATAAAGTAGAATACATAAAAACTCCGTATATAAAAATAAGTTATTTATATATTACATAGCTTGTATTACTTACATTTGTATGCCAAATTACATGCCTGATTAAAAATAAACAGGGGAGGATTATATTTCCTTAAACAGAACTTACACTAAGGTCTCCAGTTTCAAATTCCCATATCTTTTCTGATGCTGCAATTTTCCAGACTTGAATGTATCCACTCATATCCCCTGTTGCTAACAAGGATCCATCATGACTGAACTCAACACATGTGATGCTGTCCTAGATGGTATAAAAAATTGAATTATTCATAATATTTAACATACGGTAATAATAATATACTTAAAATTGATATTAACTTACATGCAAAACAACCAGTGAAATATAGTGAAATTCCAAGTACTTTCATGATTTTTCACATTATCAAGGAACTGAAAAAACACGAAAGTGTTTGGAATTTCACTATTTTTTCACAGTGGCTGTTTTGCATGTTATGATATCACCTGTTTACTGTGATATTATTGCATTAACTAACATGTAATGCATAGGCTATTAAAACAAAAGAAATCTCTTAACTTAACCAGAAAAATAGTAAACATTAAAACCATAGCTTTTTTTTTTTTTTTTTTTTACTTTTATTTAAACAGTGCCTTACTATGGCCATCTGGATGTGAATAGTCACCTTGTGGCCTGTGCAAGTCAAAAGTACATTTCCAGTACGTATGTCCCATACATATGCCAAGTCATCCTCTCCCCCTGTGGCTGCTATGTTTCCACCAGGTGACACTGAACAACTGAATACTGAGCCTGAAACATTGATCCCAAGTGTGTAAGTATATTACTTTCACATTCAAAAAATAAGGTCTGAAATGAAGTAGCATCATCATTACTGACTAGGAAAGGTCTATATTTTTAACTGGGTAATCATATTTTCTGGCTATTTTTTTTTTAAGATGTCGGCTGTCTCCCACCAAGGCAGGGTGACCCAAAAAAGAAACACTTTCACCATCATTCACACATAATCACTGTCTTTGCAGAGGCGCGTAGATATGACAGTGTAGATATCACTCCTAACAGTCAATATCCCAAACTCCTCCTTTAAAGTGCAGGCATTGTACTTCCCACCTCCAGGACTCAAGTTTGGCTAACTGGTTTCCCTGAATCCCTTCACAAAATATTACTCTGTTCACACTTTAACAGTTTGTCAGGTACCAAAAACCATTCATCTCCATTCACTCCTATCTAACATGCTCACACGTGCCTGCTGCATGCCCAAACCCCTTGCACACAAAATCTCTTTTACCCCCTCCCTCCATCCTTTCCTAGGACAACCCCTACCCCTCCTCCCCTCCATTATAGATTTACACACCCTCCAAGCCATCCTATTTTGTTCCATCCTCTCTAAATGACCAAACCACCTCAACAGGTCCGAATGACCCTTACTGTGAGGTAATAAAGTTTGAGCCAAGGAAGGGGAAGATACCTTGAATGCCTTGGATCAAGAGTCCTTCACCAGCATCAAGGAACTCCCCTTAAGGGTAATTATTAATATAACTAATGTTAAGTGTCATATTCCCCTTTAAATTTACTACAGTCTCTGTACCTATTTTCTAAAATGAAAAATAAATTATCCCTGTTTCATGGAATATAAGTTAGGGGTTTCTATCAAATGGTTATGCCTGTCTCAAGCTTAATATATTGAGGATGAAGCCTCCACCACTCTTAGCACTGAATGACCCATATGGGTTTATCTCTTTATCTAAAGCAGCTCCAACACAGAAGCTAATGATGCTGAAGCTCTGTGTAAATACATTATGGAGATTTGTTAAAAAAAAATGTATGTACTCCAAACTAAACTGTGATAATAAATCAGTGTAAAAAAATGGGTCAAGAAGAAATTTCTAATAAATTTAGTTTTGGTAAGTTTGAATTTGCAAGGTAAATAATAAGAAAATCTACAATGTTTTAAATAGCTGAAAAAGTAAAAGCAAATCACCAAAACAAATATACTACATAGTAAGAAAAGACTCCATGGGGAAGTGGAACAGAATTCTTCCTCCGTAAGCCATGCGTGTTGCAAGAGGCGACTAAAATGCCGGGAGCAAGGGGCTAGTAACCCCTTCTCCTGTATATATTACTAAATGTAAAAGGAGAAACTTTCGTTTTTCCTTTTGGGTCACCCTGCCTCGATGGGATACGGCCAGTGTGTTGAATAACAAAATGGACTATAATGAATAACACTACGAAAATTAAAAGTTAACATATAGTAATAGAGCAATTCTGGTGGAAGTAAATGAAAAATGACAAGATTTTTGCATGTGAAACATATACTGCACATTTTGCCTTATGTGAAAAGAAAAAAAAGAATTTACATATAAGAAAATTAAACATTATCACATTTATAGAATTTTAGAATTAGTAATACACATAAAGACCTTTGTGCTTGGAGAAGACAAGAGCAGCCACATCAGTAACATCCGTTGTTTCTTCCATATGTTCGTCCTCATCCTCTTCATCTCTATGAGCATCCTCTTGCCAGTTAGTGTCATCATCAAGCTCTATCACCTGAAGAAAACACTAGGAATTTATATTTCTATATTTTTAGTTTAGATTTATCTGAAAAAAATATTGCAAGAATACATCATTTTTAAGTCACAGCATTATGAAATTTCATTGTATAGACATGACTGCTGACCACAGAAGTTTTAAGTGCAATTGTAAATTCCATATGACATCAGTATCTAACCAAGACAGGGTTTTCAGCAATGGATTTATATTGGATAAATTCAGAAAGGATGTACGAAAGAACTGAATAGGCAACAGAATTGTGAATGAGTGGAACAAACTACCAAGTGGATCACTTAAGTAATTTGGATAGGTTTAACCCTTTGACTGTTTTGGTCATATATATACGTCTTACGAGCCACTGTTTTTGATGTACATGTATATATGTATACTCATAAATTCTAGCGGCTTCAAATCAAGCAGGAGAAAGCTGGTAGGCCCACATGTGAGAGAATGGGTGTGTGTGGTCAGTGTGCACCATATAAAAAAAATCCTGCAGCACGCAGTGCATGAGAAAAAAAAAACTGACCGTTTTTTTAATTAAAATGCCAACTTTGTGGTCTATTTTCATATAGTATTTATGGTTGTATTCTCGTTTTCTTGGTCTCAATTGATCGAATGGAAAGCATATTATAGAAACAGAGGTGATTTTGATTGGTTTTACTATGAAAAGAATCTTGAAATGGACCTCAAAGTAGGGGAAATGTTTGATTTTTGCTGATGTTCAAAAGTAAACAAATGTCATTTTCCAATAAATGTCCAAGTAGCCATTCTAATATGCAGTCATGAATGGGTTGACATTATTTATACAATTATTACAATATTGCAGTAGTCTGCATAACAGTAAATCTATTTTTTGTTTGAATAAAAATTCAAAATAGAAAGCAAGAGTAATATCAGAGGGGCCTGGAGACATGACTGATGAACAAAGAAAATGTTATTTTAGAGCCAGGAATGTCTGCATTGTTCATTCTGGACCCTATTTTGAAATTGGCATATTTTTTAATTTTCATGAAACTGGCCAAATTGCAAATTTCTGACCACGTTACTGGGTAGTTGAAATCGGTAAATGAGTAGTTTCTTGTACTCAGTCAATAGAAAAAATGGAGTTCTAAAGAAATAGCTATGAGTTTGGTCGACTGGAACAATGGAATTAGCCGAAAATAGGGCTCAAAGTGGACAAAATTGTCGATTCGTAAATATCGCCTAGGTCGCTAACTTCGCAAGAACATAATTCCTTCAGTTTTCCATCAAATTTCGTTCTTCTGGTGTCATTACAATCGGGAAAAGATTCTCTATCATTTCGTAAGAAAAATTAATTAATTATTTTTTTTTTTTTAAATTTTGCGACACCAGGAGACACCTCAGGATTTGGGGTTGCGACAGTCAAGGGGTTAAAAACAGATTGGGGAGGTACAAAAGTGGGAGTGGTTGGATATAAGATTTGCTTAGCATGAGCCAGTAGGACTACTGCAGTGTTCCCTTATTTTTATATACAGTGGACCCTTGGTTTTCGTGATTAATCCGTTCCAGAGAGTCTGCTGAAAACCAAAATTCACCAAAACCGAAACCATTTTCTCCATAAGAAATAATGTAAATCCAATTAATCTGTTCCAGACACCCAAAAGTATTAACAAAAAATTATTTTTTTAGAGATTATAGATTTACGTACAGAAAAGAATGACAAATCAATATAAAGCAATAATAACATCACACTTACCTTTACTAAAGACTCTTGTTAGTGTATGGAAGACAGAAGGGGAGAGGGAAGAGAAGAAACTACTGTTTGGAAGGGAAATCCCCTTCCATAAAGACTTTAGGTACCGAGTCCTTATCCAGGGTTACTTCCCTTCTTTGTTTTTTAATGGTACTAGGACCCACTTGAGAGTCACTGGACCCCTGTCGCTCAAAAATTTGTACCAGAGAGCTCTGTTTCTGGTGTCTCTTTAAGATTTGCCAAAAATGGGACAAGGCATTGTCACTGAACATGTTGCAGACACAGCCTACAGCAGCTTTGTTAGGGTGATGTTCCTCCACAAACATTTGCACCTCACTCCACTTTGCACAAATGTCCTTAATCTTTGAAGAAGGCACCTTCTCCCCTCTCTCTTCCTCCTCCTCTGAAACAATTTCCTCAGCTGTGGTCTGTTGCTGTTGCAGATGAAGCTCTTGCAGCTCTTCAGTGGTTAGCACTTCAATGTGGTCCTCCACCAACTCTTCCACATCCTGGCTACTCACATCCAACCCCATGGAATTCCCCAATGCCACAATACATTCCATAACAGGTGCAGGCCACGCTTACACCACTTTCATAATTCTCTATGATTTCTTTCTTTAATTCTATCATGTTTCTCACCTTCTTTACCAAAGGGCTGGGCCCATGGTGGCTTATTTAGCAGTTGCAAGTACAAAAAAACAATGGATTATTACAAAATGTTTTGTATGAACGCGGGGAGGTGATGCTCACTCGACGAGAAACAATGCCAGGCTGACTCTTGAATACGTCTGTGTGAGGCTTTGTTTGTGTGGGGCCACTGGGACATGTACCGTATGACCGCCGAAATCCAAGGGAAATCACGAAAACCAAGGCTATATTTTGATGAAAAAAGTTGCTAATAACCAAAATTCATGAAAACTGAGACTCACGAAAACCAAGGGTCCACTGTACATGGGTGTTAGCCAACTGTTGTGGGATGCATCCTGGGAAAGAAGCTCCAAGGACTCCCAATCGAACTAAGCCGCAATGATTAACTTTCTTGAGCTATCAACCCTGTGATTTAATAATCCAAATATAATTTGTTAAAGTACAGTACGGTAGAACCCCTATATCCAGTGATTTGGTATCCGTGGTTTCAGTTATCCACGGTTTACTGTGACCCAAAAATACCTATTAATATTGCATAATAATGGCCCTAAAGTGCAGAAGTAGAGAAGCTGGCAATTCTTCAAAGCCTAAGAAAAGCTATGTTTGGGATATTGGCAGTTTGGAATGACTATCTAAACTGTCATATCTGGGCACCTCTGCAAAGACAGTGATTATGTATGAGTGATGGTGAACGTGTTCACTGATAATGAAAGCTTTTTCTTTCTTTTGGGTCACCCTGCCTTGGTGGGAGATGGCCGAAGTGTTAAAAAACAAAAAAGGTATGTATAGGACTTATATACAGTTTGCTACTATCCACTGTTTTGGTATCCATAGCAGGTCCTTGGAATGTATCCCCCATGGATACGGGGATCCTACTGTATATTGATAAGAACTAAACACATACTGAAGAATATATAATAATCTGTAACAAACTTATAGCAGCACCATCTTTAATAAGATTACAGTGGAACCTCAGTTTTCATCATTAATTCATTCCAGAAAGTCTGACGAAAGCCAAATTCGACAAAAACTGAAGCATTATTTCCCATAAGAAATAATGTAAATCCAATTAATCTGTCCCAGACACCCAAAAGTATTAACAAAAAATACATTTTATAGAGAATAACTATAGTTTTAAATACAGAAAACAATGAGAAATAAATATAAAGGACTAATGAAATGGATAAATGAACATTTAACATCACTTTTACCTTGATTGAAGACTCTTGTTGGCGAATGGAAGATGGCGAGGAAGGGAGTGGGAGGAAAGGTTATCTCTACCACCATCACTATCACCCTCTACCACAATCACAACCACTACCACTCTCTACTACCATCACTACCACCTCTACCACCATCACTACAACCCTTAGCCACCATCACAACCACTACCATCCTCTACCACCATCACAACCACTACCACCATCAGTACCACTCTCTACCACCGTCACTACCACCTTCACTACCACCCTCTACCAACGAGAAACAAAGCCAGACTGACTCAGAACGAGTGGGATGCTTTGTGTGGGCGTGGGCAGACATGTCGGTATGGTGGACCACTGTCAACTCGACGAAAACTGAGGTGATGAACGAAAACTGGGGCAAAATTTTGATGAAAAAAGTTGTTGAAAACCAAATTCAACGAAAACCAGGGCAAAAAAAAACCGAGGTTCCACTGTACTATGTTACATATATAATATATAAACTCACGTATCTTATTTATTAATAAGAAAACATTCTTGAAGTAGTTTACTGTATGAGTAGTTGACACTGATTATCTTTCTGACAGCAAAAAGAGAACACTGCAGAATCAGTCAAGGTTTTTACTTACCTCTTCTATGTCACCAATATCAATCAAATCCTCTCTCCCACCCTCATTAACAGGATCAGGAGAAGGTGGTGGTGTGTTAGCCTTCATAGTAAAATGTTTGCTGAAGAACCTGAATTATAAACATCTTATTATTACTGTATTACTAGTAATAGTATTTTTATTCTTATTATTTTATTCATATAAAGTACTACCCATGTGCATTCAGGACTGGGAAGGAGGAATAGCAGACATGGACCATAGGGGATCCCAAAATTTGAAGTGCTGTATGACCCTTAGATTTTAGTGCTTAAATTGATTAGAATAATAATGCAAAGGTGAGAGGCAAAATAATCTAGAGTACATGAAATGAACACAGTTCCTATGAAAGTGTGCAAATGAGTTCAGTGATGGCAATTAGGAACAGCTATATGGTACTCCATCTTAGATGAAGTTGTGGGAAAGGCTGTGATTGATCCAATCTTAAAAATCTTTAAGAAAGGTAACTGTAGCCCCATAGGTTAAAAGAATGGACTTGAGACCAGACTGAAATTGCCAGGTGTTATCATAAGCCTTCTCTAGGATAAAATAAAAATAACCTTAACAAGTCAAGCTACAGAAAATTTCTCATGAATAAATGTAATGAAACTAGATGCAAAAAATTTTGTAATGGAACAGTCTTGGCCTTAACATGGAGAAGGGGATTCTTAAACAGTCCTGAGCCTATAAGAACATTCTCTCGTTAACCATATGCTTCAAAAAATTTTAAAATGGAGCCAAAAGTAATAACAAGTTGTACCAATACATCAACTGAAGAAGCGTACATATTACTGTATATTCATGGAATGCTAACCCAGCGTGAGAAGGAAAAAACAGTTTCTTGAGTAGAGTGCCAAAGTCTGAAGCCTGAACTGTCACTATTATATTCACAAAGCAGCGCTAAACCAGTATGGGTTACTCAGCACTGCTGTATCTTGAGGAATGGGGATGGGAGTGGGAGGTGATAACATGGAAATGATCGCTAGTGTGAAAATAGTTTTCTAATGCCCCTGTTACAATTAACATAAATATAATAGAGTAAACTCTTGTAATGTAGGGTGGTAACCTAACCAAGACGAATAAACTCACGAAGAATGATTAAAACTAAATATATTCCTGGAGAAATGAAGAATAAAAGAAGACATGATCATGACAAACAAAATACGTATTCTAAGGTGCAGCCTTAGGTTACCCAACTCAAGAGTGACTAGGTGGACACATACAGGCTCTTTTTCACATGAAGAAAAAGCTGTATAAAATGAGACAAATGTTAGTCATACAGATCTTTCTCAGGATACGTGCGCTTTGCTTTAAGGTTTCTTCACTTCCCGATGACTGAAAGAGTTGTAGTGTGTTGTCACTCAGCGCTGAATCAGTGGTGTCTGTGTCGTACAGATCTATATTATTATTTATCATTTACCCACGTTTTACGAGTTATTGTTGTTATTTGTATTTAAGGGCACCTGAAGTCTGAGCCGTATTAAGCTCTCCTACTTGCCGGAATCTGAGGACAATACAGTTCCAAAATAATAATAATAATAATAATATAATTATTATTATTATTATTATTGTTGTTGTTGTTGTTGTTATTATTATTATTATTATTATTATTATTATTATTATTATTATTATTATTATTATTATTATTATTATTATATTATTTTTATTATTATTGCTATTATTATTATTATTATTATTATTGTTATATCCTAAACCACTGTGGGGTCATTCAGCGCCAGGTGTGTTGGAAGTTCAATCCTTCGTCATAAAAATGATTGTTATAGAAATGCAGTTAGAGCCTGAGTAGATCTATAACCCACTATGATAACATGAACGTAGATAAGTATATTTATGGAGCAACTTGCAATGTGAACAGACTGGCTGATGTTGTAGTGGCCAGACTTAGGCTTGGTTACAAGTACTTCTGGCAGTTTGGGAGACACGCAGATGATGATCAAACTAAATGTAAATTATGTGATCAGGCGGCCGGGCCACCACTTGGAAAAGGCCCGGGCCGGGAGAATACCGGCGAATCTTTAATAATAATAATAGTGTGATCAGGCATATGGTCACTCTCTTGAACACTATGTGCTTAATTGTCCACTTATTGAGGAATACAGAGATAGACAATATAATAACCTATGTGACATGTCAAGATATCTTATTAATGAAAATAAGATACCAGATATACTAAGCAAATTTTCTAAATTTGCTTGTAACAGATAATTGAACTATAGATATGTAGATATGAATCCATATGTATTCCTGTTATAAGTAAGTAAGTAAGTTTATTTAGGTATACACAAATACAGTTACATAGATTATCATACATAGCAGCATATGTGAAGAGAACCTGGGATAACCCAAAAAAGTCAGAGTGACTCATTTCCATTGGGGTCCTTTTACCTTATTATTATAATATAAAGGTTATAAGAGATTCTTATTATTCTATAACGAAGATAACATCTTATTATTATACTAAAAGACTATCTACTACACGAGGGTCATTAAGACTATCTAAAATACGAGGGTCATTACTAGGAATAAAGTAAAATTACACTTGTGTTAGCTAAAAAATAAAAAATCATTCCCCTCCCTTTCTGTTGCTACATTCATCAGACACCTTTTGGCACTCTTCTTGAACTGGTTCATGCTATGACTGACTTTGACATGTGCGGGCAGTCTGTTCCATTCCTTTATTGCTGTACAATAAAAGGTGTTTGAAGCCTGGCCAATGACTGTGGGTACTACAAAGTTGTGCTCTCTCCCCCTAGTACTATGATTGCTTTGGTTCCTAACCTTGACAAAATTGACAGCAGGATATTCTGGACACTGTTTGTGAGTAATTTTATAAACATGATTTAGCTTCAGCTGTTTTACTCTGTCTTCAACATTCAGCATATCCAACTGCTGTAATTCATTCTAATCTACATGCTCTCTTGGACCCAGGCCCAGGATGAATCTTACAATTTTGTTCTGGGTGATTTGCAGTCTATCTTTCAGTTTGTTTGCTTTTTTGCCAAGACAGAGTACTATGAAGAGCAAGCGTAATCCATATGACACTGTATAAGGGCTAGACATAGGGTCCTGCGAGCCTCAATAGGTAGACACTGTGATTGTCTATAGAGGAACTTCAGTCTGGCAATCGCTTTCTTTACTACACTGTTCCCTATCAATTCTCCTGACATGCATGGGTCAAAGGGGATTCCCAGATATTTTACTGATGAAACCAAAGTGATGGGCTCCCCATTACACTGGACATTAAAATTATTTACCCTTCTCAGTTTATGTTTCGTGCCAAAGAGAATGGCTTCAGTTTTCCCTAGGTGTAATGATAGTTTGTTTACTAATCATTTACTGCAGGACTCCAGTTCCAGTGTTAATACATTAGCTATATCTTGTAGGTCTTTACCTGACACTAACAGAGCACTGTCATCTGCATACAGCAGGAGTTTGCACTTGACACTGATAGGCATGTCATTGACACAGCATAAGAATAGGGACCCAGAATATTACCTTGGGGAGCTCCACATGTTATCGGCAGGGGTTCAGATTCCGTTTTGTTAATTTTGACAATTTGTCTCCTGTTGCTAAGGTAGGACTTAAACCAGTCTACAGAACCTATACCAATAGCTTGAAGTTTCTTACATAATATATTGTGGTTGACAGTATCGAAGGCCTTTTGCAGGTCTAAGGTTACCATACCTATGAGGTTCCCCATTGACAATTCAGTTCTCAGGTAATCCTTCAGAAAATTGCATTTATCTGTATGTATAATTATGTACATAACAGTAAATGAACATAGATAATTATTATTTATCAGTTAGCAAGTAGGAATTTGGGACACCTAGGTCGCAAAAATGTCCCCCTTCGATACCTACCACTGTCATATCCACAAGTTGCTCTGGACCTATTAATTAAATGAATTATACATCAGGAATTCTCGTAAATATATAAATTTGTGGACTGTATATTAAAAAATGATTATATATAAATTCACATATACATAACAAAAGGAAAATATATCTTAATATCACTCACCAATTTGACTAGATATTAAGTTGTATCATGCTCAGAAAAACCTCACTAAATTTATGAAAACACTGGCCAGAATTATACACAAATCTAGAGAGCTTATCTGAGGTTCCTGGAGCTGTCTTGTCCAGTCGTCTGATATATCAAGTTATGCAGAATGCACATCCAACAATTTCGCCTCCTATTTGAGAGGTGTCAATCCAATTTTAACCTCTAGAGCAAGAAAAATTCTTCCCATTACATTAACGTTGTATCCAATTCAAAACCAAGATGGCGAGTCCCCTGCCCAGACGCAGGCTTTCCGTTTTCTATGACAAATATTATTAAATACAGTATAGGCCATCTATTTACCTATAAATTACCGTATTTCTGGAAAATATATACAGCATTTTCCACAAGGGAGGTGTCGGTTGAGTAAGATCATGCAACCATATGACCTGTCTTTGTAATACTCATTTGTGCTTTATAGTTATCTGTTTACAATAATGTCTTATCACTGATTTCATCATTGCTTAGTTAATCTTAAGTTAATTTTAAGCCAGCCCGTAATGCTATGCATATAAGTGGCTTTGGCATGCTGCTCTTACCTGTATTTTTTTTTGTACCTCTGTATGTATGCTAAAATTTCTAAATAAATAAATAAATAAATAAATAAATAAATAAATAAATAAATAAAATAAAGCCCGAGTGATAGCTATGGAGAATGTTGTTGTCATTAAGGTACTTAACTACTTCAGAGTACACCGCTCACTCTAGAATTTTGGATATTATACTGAGTATACTAACAGGCCTATAGTTGCTTACATCAGACCTACTATTTTTCTTGAAGATAGGAGTAACTCTGGCCTCCTTGAACCCCTCTGGTACGGTATTAGTGGTGATTGACAGATTTATTATGTGAGCAATAGGGATTGACAGTTCAGAAGCACCATCTTTTAGGAACTTAGACGGGATGTTATCCGGGCCAGTGCTCTTAATTGGGTTTAACCTGCTTAGTTCTTTTTGAATAAAGTCATGAGATACACTTGGTAGTTGACAACTGTTTGGGGTTACCCCTTTATTGGTATAGTATGTTTGAAATTTATCAGAGTCTGTGTTAAAGGTCTAGTTCCTGGGCCTTTTGTGTATCCATATGTTCTTGCGCTACCGTCCACAGGATGGATATAGGGTGCACAATAAACTAGCTACTTCGGTGGCAAAATCTATCATTCCTAGCAGCAAGTAGGTACCTGAGTGTTAGTCGACTGGTGTGGGTCGCGTCCTGGGGGACAAGATTCAGGACCCCAATGGAAATAAGACACAGTCCTCGATGACGCGCTGCCTTTCTTGGGTTATCCTGGGTGGCTAACCCTGCGTGGTTAAAAATCTGAACGAAATCTTATCTTACTATTTTTTTCACTACAGCTGTTAAGGCCTCATTTAGATTATGTAGTTCAGTTCTGCTCTCCATAAGTAAGTTTACCTAGGCACAAGTACACATAAGTACAATTATCATACATAGTATGAATTACCCAGGATAACCCACCCAAAAAGTCAAAGTGACATATTCCATATTACATAATAGAAGATTTTCGGATTATTAACCTAAAGGGTTAGAAGATTTTATTAGGAATATTAACCAATAGGATTAGTGACCCAGTTTAAAGATGTCACTGAGGACTGTCCTCTAATTGTCTCCGAGGAGTCGACCCACGAGAGTCGCCTAACACCCGGGTACGTACTGCTGACTGCTAAGTGAACAGGGACAGCTAGTGCTGGGGATCGAGCCCTGGTCCTTCAGTGCGTGGATTGAAGGCGCTACCAGCTTTGCTGTGAGGCACCAATGGAAAATATAGAGAAGGTATGTATCAGACATCTTTCCTACGAAGACAGCTGAAACCACTGGATCTGCACTCTTTGTAAAGACAATTTTTTGGGGATATAACTGAATCCTACAAGTGAAAAAATAAATAAATAAAGGGAATACAAATAACCTGCTACGACAGGATATAAGGAGGCACTGATTAAGCAGTAGAGTTGTAGATGAATGTAACAATCTCCCAAGTAGAGTCACTGTAGCAAGAACTTTTGAGCATCTTTCAATACACGTTGAATGGATACACGAATTGGTGTAGCTTGGGTATGAACTGAACTTGCCTAGCATGAGCCAGTAGGCCTATACGACCCCAATAGGTTCCAAACTGGTAGGTTCCAAACTGGTGGGTTCCAAACTGGTGGGTTACAAACTGGTGATGCATACTCTAGTATGGGCCTGACGTACACGGTGTATAGTCTTGAACGATTCCTTACTGAAGTACCGGAATGCTATTCTCAGGTTTGCCAGGCGCCCATATGCTGCAGCAGTTATCTGGTTGATGTGTGCTTCAGATGTGCTCGGTATTATACTCATCCCAATTATTATTATTATTATTATTATAATCAAGGGGAAGCGCTGAACCCGGAGGATTATACAGCGCCTGGGGGGGGGGATGTGGAAGGCATTCAGGCTTAATTCGGGGAACTGGAGCACAGATCCAATTCCCTAAATCAAGAGCCCCTCACCAACATCAAGGAACCTTCCTTGAGGGGATCCACTGCATTGCCCATCCTGTTTTCCGTGTCTGATCCTCTAGCTTTTGCACTAATCTCTTGAGAGGAACTGTGTCAAAGGCCTTCTTGCAGTCCAAGAAAATGCAGTCAACCCACCCCTCTCTCTCATCTTACTTCTGTTACCTTGTCATAAAACTCCAGTAGGTTTGTGACACAGGATTTGCCTTCCATAAATACGTGCTGGATGTCGTTTATAAGCTTGTTCTGTTCTAGTTGCTCCACCACTCTCCTCCTGATAATCTTCTCCAAGACTTTGCATACTATATACGTCAGTGACACTGGTCTATAGTTTAGTGCCTCGCTTCTGTCTCCTTTCTTAAAAATGGGGACTACATTTACCATCTTCCATACCTCAGGTAGTTGCCCAGTTTCAATGGATGTGTTGAAAATTGTGGTTAGTGGCACACACAGCATCTCTGCTCCCTCCCTAGGGACCAATGGAGAGATGTCCGGTCCCACTGCCTTTGAGGTACCAAGGTCACTTAGCAGCTTCTTCACCTCCTTGGTTGTGTGTGTTTCATCCAACACTTGTTGGTATATACCTTGTTGGTGTACCTCTCTTTTCTGACCTGGAAAACTTTCTGTCTCCACTGTCAATACTTCCTTAAATCTCATGTTGAGCTCCTCACATACTTCTTGGTCGTTTCTCGTGAACTCCCCACCATCTTTCCTCAGCCTGATTATCTGGTTCTTGACTGCTGTCTTCTGATGTGGCTATACAACTGCTTCGGGTCAGACTTGACTTTCGATGCTATGTCGTTTTCGTACTGTCGCTGAGCCTCCCTTCTTATCTGTGCATACTCGTTTCTGGCTCTTCGACTGATCTCTTTCTTTTCCCGGGTCCTTTGTCTTCTGTAGTTTTTCCATTCTCGAGCGCACTTAGTTTTTGCATCCCGACACCTTTGGGTAAGCCAAGGGCTCGTTCTGGTCTTCCCATTATTTCTTTTGCCCTTGGGAAAAAAAACTTTTCTCTGTCCCCTTGCATTTTGTTGTTACGTAGTCCATCATTTCGTTTACTGACTTTCTTACCAATTCTCTTTACCCCTGAACTTCCTGCAGGAAGTTCCTCATACCTGTGTGCCCCCCCATCTTGTAGTTTCGCCTTTCCCATCCTACTGGCAATACTTTGCCAGCCAGGCTACAGGGTCATGGTGCCTCGTGCAAAATGACAAGCCAAAAAACAAGGACACATCTGCTTTACATAAAAGGTGAGTACGAAGAATATGGGACCAGGAGCAAGCACAATTAGGTGAGGACTTGTGTCTAGGGAACACCGAGGACTGCACCATGACCGGCTCAACCTCATGCCACAGCTGACAGACTGCCTCCTCTGCCTTCGTTAATTCCATCATATATTATAAGATTAACCTCGTTTTCCACCAATAAAGAGAGAAATAAATTAATATGTAACAAGAGATATCAGCAATTATTATTTCTTTTTATAATAATATAAATATTTAAAGGTTTAATCTTCACTTTTTTTATTTGAGAAGCAAAATTATGAGGTAATGTAAGAGGGATTTAGTTAGGTGTTACTGTGAGTCACAGCACCACAGTAAACATGGCGCACCTCTTTAAGGTTGACCGTGTCCGTCTCTTGTGCTCCTGTGGGGTCCTCAAACCAATCACTGCTATATATTTCTGTCGCCACTGCCTCAAGCTGAGATGCGGGAACTGTGTTTCTCACGAGGTAAGTAAACGTTTGTGCCCCAGGGGGAGGCAAAATTTGGTTGTGAAATTTTGATTTTGTTTGGTTCTGGGTGTGTCAGATGTCATTAGAAAATTTTCCAAGCAAATTTTCCCTTCAAGGCAGGAAGGAGCGTTGATATCGGTGGAAGACTCTTGACCAGAGGAATTGAAACCATTCTTCCCTTCCTTGTATCGACCCTGATTGCCTTTAATTCCTTCTTAACAAAAAGAAATATAATGAAAACTGTAATATCATCCAAGATGGTGAGAGCTACCCTAGACCTGGGTTCAAGAGAACATGAAAGCTCATTAAACTGTAGAAACTGGACATGCTAAAAGTGAAACATAGAGCAAAGTAGCCGAAATTAAACCATATACATTGCTAGCTAAACCATTATCCTGGATATTTTGCTTCAGATTTTGTAACAGGTGCCAACCATTATTGTACTAAAGGAAGCTAATGCAGTTTTGCAACCATAACAAGTGGCCAGGCCTTAAACACTTATTATGTTGATATACTGTATTCATAGACTGAATACCTTATTTATTGAAATATGTATACATCACACATTCACTGTAGTCATGTAATTGATATATTCATGAAAATAATTTTCATATAACTACTATATTAATTTTATATTGCTTTTTATTGTTAATTATAACTGATTTATTCAAGTAACTGATGTTTATGTACCACAAACATCCCAAATGGAACAAGTCACAGTAATTGCCTTCATTAATTTTCCAAGATTAATTTACTTATTGTGTTCTTTGTAAGGTAGTTGTAAAAATTTGAACTTGTATAATGAACGTGAATAAAGACTTAGTCTTTGTTTCCCCAACAGGCTAAGCACTTCCCCTGATTATAATAATAATCTACAGAACCTGTGCCAGTCACAAAGAAGAATGTGTATATAACTTCAGATAGCCTATAATAATTTTCTGTAGCTATTTATTAAAGTCCTAATTGTGAGCTCTGCTACTGAAGTTTGATTCTTTAATTTCTTTCAGGTGGACACACTTTTTTGCCCCAATTGCTTGGAGAATATGCCTTCTACCGAGGCCCGTCTGAAGAAAAACAGGTGAATAATTAAAGCTAATTAATTAGCTGTATAGCCTTCAGCTTTTTCTCAAGTTGGCTTGTGTACCACAATTTTATATCTCTAGATTTCTATTAATTTTAGCTCTTTTGCAGCAGATCCTTAAAATGAAGGGTAGGATGTGCAGAAATTATTACAAATGTTATTAATGGTACATAGAGTACAACAGCTTTTATTAAATCATGTGTACAAAACTTGTAACATTTTGTAAACAGACTTATCTTATTGTCAGTTCTGTAAGTATTAGAAACCAAAATCAGGATGGTGGCAAGAGAAAGAGGGTAGTAAAATAACCCCAGAAAGCCAAACAGTTTTTTGTTTCCATTAGTCCTTAGGTCCTCCCCTGTGTGATGCAACCCACAGTGGACAATTATCTCCTAGGTACTGTATCTTTACTGTTCAGTGAATTGGTGATGCAGGTGTAATAAGGCATTCTAATGTCTCAAAATATTTAGGAATTGAACACCAGCTGCTTCAGGTTTTAACCGGAGAGCTCTTCCAGTGAGTTACCATTCAGTAATGGAGCAAGTAAACTATCTTCTTTAATTTATCAACATTTACTTCACTTTTACTCACTAATGACATTCTTCTTATATCCCATCTACCTCTTATTTACTGTAGCTAAAAGTAAATAATGATCTGACATATTATCTCTTGCCCCCTCTGTTAATAAGAAAGCATGTGAAGGAGGCTTTAAGTAGTACAATAGAGCTTGAGCTTGTTATATCAGATTGAAGGAAGAAAAGTGTTTTTTTAGAAATTCAAAATGCTGTTGAAGAGAAGCATAGTAGCATTTATGAAAGGATTTAGAGAAACTAGTTAGCCAAATTTGCATTCTGGAGAATGGAAGTGCACTGTCTGCACATGTGAAGGATAATTTACAATGTTGCAGTTCAAGGGGTCATTTGAATTGTGATGTTTATGCACTTCCAGCAAGCATCTATTGAATGAGTGATGGTGAATGTGTTTCTTTGAGCCACCCTATCCTAGTTGTTAAAAAAAAAAAAATAGAGTACTTTTAAGTATAATGATGTATCATTATAATTTGACTGGTTTAATCTGAATTATTTGAAAATCAGGTGTGCCAATTGTTTCGATTGCCCAAGCTGCAGTCACACCTTATCAACCAGAGCAACAAGTATCCAAGCTCCATCTCCAGATGACCCAGCCAAAACTGTAGCCAGAAAAGTGTATTATTTGGCTTGCACTAGCTGCAGATGGACTTCCAGAGATGTTGGTCTTAAAGATCAGACAGTTGGTATGTTAATTATATTATACAATATTTCTTACTTGTAGTTATATCAGGCAGAGTTATATTAAATGAGTGATCATATATTCAATTATTGCTTATTAATCACTAATTATTATTATTATTATTATCATCATCATTATTATCATTGTTATTTTTATTATAGCAACAGGAGGCTGGGCTGAACAAGATAATGAACATTATAAGTTTCTTCAATCTCTGTTAGAGCATTATCGATCAGTTGCTCAACAAGAGAAGCTTGATCGCGAAAGGAAAAGATTCTCTCATCGCAAATCAGCTTATCTGAGTCTTACAGACAAGTACAGCCTTCCCTCTTTACTAGGACGGAAATCTCTGACACCACTCTCACCATATTCACCAAAGGTAGGGTTAAGTATTGGTTATTACTTTTATATGCAAGGCATTACTGTTTGAGATGTACAATAATTGTTTTACATTTTTTTTTTTTTTTTCAAACATTTGGGGTCAGGCTGTGCCAGAAAGGCAGATGGAAGTTTTCTGACACATAGTAAGACAGCCTAAGTGAGTGTGGTATATTTTTTAAATTTGTTAATGCATCGCCACAAAGATGTTACATTATGTACATAACTAAGACATATTAATTTCCTTCCACAGGGGGATTCTGGCCAGGCCTCAGAAATGACCCCTTCAGAAGCTGTTTCTGAAGTATCTGGTCTTCCTGATAATATATTTACTGATGAACTTGTTTTGTCTTCAGGTAGGCAAAATAATTTTAAATAAGCATCTAGAGAGAGGCTTTTATGTCTAATATCCACATCCAAATCTGCACTTGTACTTAATGTAAAAAAATAATTGGAGAAGGGAGTTGTTTAATTTGTGGCAGTCTAGTTTTTCAATTGAAAATCCACACTGAGGGGCTATGTTACCCTATAATTTGGTTTGGGATAATTTCTTTAGGATGATTCTCACCAGTTTACTGCAATAGTCTTATTGCAATGTTCAAATAATTAGTCAAATATGGAGATAAACCTTTTCTCACTCAGTGCGATAGTAATGCCAAATAATGTGGAAAGGTTTATTTTTAAAATCTTCACTTTGCCTTACACTCTATAATTTAAAAGAAAATTGGAATTTCCTGGGGCCTATTAAATATAGAATATCTGTAGTGCGAGTGCTAAAACAAGTTCACCTTTTCAGTGAATTGTTGATTCACTAGACAATTATGTATCTCTTAACCACTTAAAATTTTTATATACTGTGCATTCTTGAGTACTGGCCAAGCAATTAGTTTAATTTTATTAAATTTAATTTAACATACATTATATAGGTGTCGTATATATGCACACACACAGTCATCACACGTAATGAGTTTACCATGAATTATTGTTTTAAACATAAAATACTGAAATACATATTACTCACCTAACCTAGCATGTCGTAGGATTAACTGTCCTCATGAGGCACTCCTTGCATCTCCTAGACACTAGCAAGGCTAAAGTATGGAGGATAGAAAAATCAGTTCATTCCCACAGTTGCTTAATGGATCCCCAAGAGTGGACATGTCCATGCCATGACGCTGATGCTTTAATATGGTTCCACATGTTTTTTATCAGATTTAGTTTGGTGAGTTACCAGGCCAGTCTTTGAAGAATGATGTATCACATTTATGTAGCTGGTCTTTTATGTTTTTGGCAGTATGGCAAAGATGCTCTGGCACTTCTCAAAACTATCAGCAAATATTCTGCTAAAGGCATATTTATGCAATTGCATATTTATAATACCTACTGTACTGTATATATATATTTTTTTTTTTTCAACAAGGCCGTCTCCCACCGAGGCAGGGTGACCCAAAAAAGAAAGAAAATCCCCAAAAAGAAAATGCTTTCATCATCATTCAACACTTTCACCACACTCGCACATAATCACTGTTTTTGCAGAGGTGCTCAGAATACAACAGTTTAGACGCATATACGTATAAAGATATACAACATATCCCTCCAAACTGCCAATATCCCAAACCCCTCCTTTAAAGTGCAGGCATTGTACTTCCCATTTCCAGGACTCAAGTCCGACTATATGAAAATATATATATTGATATAAATATATATATATTGATATAAAATGGAAGTTGCCACAGTTACTCTACTGATGATGTTGTTCTTTTGGGAGATTCTGAAGAGAAGCTGTGAAGGTTGGTGGATGAATTTGGGACATTGTGTATTGAAAGCAATTAAAAGTAAACATAGGAAGGATAAGAGTAAGTGCAAATAAGTGGTTTTTATGGCTTGACATGTTCTTGGAATGTGAGCAAAGTAACCTGAAGGGATTCATGTAAAAATGGTTAGCCAGGCTGAGTCTTGGGGGTGGAAAGTACCATGTCTGGGCTCTGAAAAATGGGGTGAGGATGTTGCAGTACAGAGTCATTTGCACAAATGAACAAATGATGGTAATTTTTTTTTTCACTACCTTGGTAGGAGATGGCCTGGGTATTAAATTAAAGTAAAAAATTGGATGATAATAGGTTTGTCTTTTCTCTTGTGCACTTGCAGTTAACTTGGAGCAGCTTATAATTTATTGTATTATATTGTGTAAAATTTCAAATCCTGTACATTGTCATATAGAACTTCCAGTTAGGATGCTTCATTTTCTAGATTGATCATTTAGAAGTATTATATATATATATATATATTTTTTGGGGCAGTAACAAACATGGTGCAGCGCATGGCATCCCCTGAGTGGCAGCCAGAAATGACAAGTGATTTGTACCCACTTCACAAACACATTCTTGTGAAGCGATCTCTCCGTTGCCGCCACTGTGAGCACAACCTGTCTAAGCCAGAGTATAATCCCTCCTCTATTAAGTTCAAGATTCAGCTGGGAGCATTGTAAGTTTTGTTTTTTAGGTGCATTATATAGGCAGATGTACCTAGTTGTTTGATGAAAGGTGTGTATGTCGTCACATTAAATGATAATGTGTTAGAGATGGTTTGTGTGATTTTACTAGTTTCCATTACAGTAGAGATTTTTTATGTTGCTCTACATAGAGTACAGTAGGCACCTTGACTTGCGATGTTCTGACTTTTGGTGCTCTAACTTTACGATGTTCTGATTTACGATGTTGCACGATTATGATCCTGTGACTTTGGAACCAGTTACAGGTCTCCCTCAACATTCACGAGGGTTAGGGGATCAAGAGCCTCGCGAATGTTGAAAAATCACGAATGTTTGGTGCCCCAATATATTGTAGGGAAATATAATACAATACTGCTTCCTTAACTTGTTGAACCATGAACAATCATAAAATACATGAAAATGTCGTAAAATATTGTACTAAATACATGTTATGGTTTAATAACATGTATGTTATTAAATACCACTGCCTCAACCGCTGCCTCAACCACTGCCTCAACCACTGCCTCAACCACTGCCTCAACCACTGCCTCTACCACTCCAGTCACACTCAATCTACAAGCACCAAACACAATGAATTATTGTGAAATGTTTGGAAGAGCGTGGAGACTAATGCTCACTCCAGCATAATCAAAGCCACACTGACTGAGGATGCCTCGACCACTTCTTCCACCACTGCTCCAACCCTCATATTTTTGTACAATTTCCTTCAATGCTATCGTATTATTCTTCTTTCAACACACCGGCCGTATCCCACCGAGGTGGGGTGGCCCAAAAGGAAAAAACGAAAGTTTCTCCTTTTACATTTAGTAATATATACAGGAGAAGGGGTTACTAGCCCCTTGCTCCTGGCATTTTAGTCGCCTCTTACAACACACATGGCTTACAGAGGAAGAATTCTGTTCCACTTCCCCATGGAGGTAAGAGGAAATAAACAAGAACAAGAACTAGTAAGAAAATAGAAGAAAACCCAGAGGGGTGTGTATATATATGCTTGTACATGTATGTGTAGTGTGACCTAAGTGTAAGTAGAAGTAGCAAGACATACCTAAAATCTTGCATGTTTATGAGACAGACAAAAGGCCACCAGCAATCCTACCATCATGTAAAACAATTACAGTTTTCCGTTTTACACTCGCTTGGGACCCCTCAAGGAAGGTTCCTTGATGTTGGTGAGGGGCTCTTGATTTAGGGAATTGGATCTGTGCTCCAGTTCCCCAAATTAAGCCTGAATGCCTTCCACATCCCCCCCCCAGGCGCTGTATAATCCTCCGGGTTTAGCGCTTCCCCTTTGATTATAATAATAATACACTCGCTTGGCAGGATGGTAGTACCTCCCTGGGCAGTTGCTGTTTACCAACCTACTACCTAGGTATCATATTATTATTATTATTATTATTATTATTATTATTATTATTATTCTTTCAACACACCGGCCGTATCCCACCAAGGCAGGGTGGCCCAAAAAGAAAAACGAAAGTTTCTCTTTTAAATTTAGTAATTTATACGGGAGAAGGGGTTACTGGCCCCTTGCGCCCGGCATTTTAGTTGCCTCTTACAGCACGCATGGCTTACGGAAGAAGAATTCTGTTCCACTTCCCCATGGAGATAAGAGGAAATAAACAAGTACAAGAACTAGAAAGAAAATAGAAGAATACCCAGAGGGGTGTGTATATATATGCTTGTACATGTATGTGTAGTGTGACCTAAGTGTAAGTAGAAGTAGCAAGACGTACCTGAAATCTTGCATGTTTATGAGACAGAAAAAAGGACACCAGCAATCTTACCATCATGTAAAACAATTACAGGTTTTCGTTTTACTCACTTGGCAGGACGGTATTACCTCCCTGGGTGGTTGCTGTCTACCAACCTACTACCTAGGTATCATTATTATTATTATTATTATTTAGCAGTAGCAGAAATGTTTGATTCTTTGCCGTGTTCAAGAGTAAACGTGTGATGTCACCGTCCAATACCTGTCCGAATAGCCATTCCAATATTCAGTCATGAATGGGATGACATTTTTTATACTGTAGTTTAATAGCAAATAATGAACAAACAGAACACTCGCCACACAGTGGTGGGAGGGCTGGCTGCCAGTTGTGAGGGTCGGAGGGAGGGTAGTCAGGACTCGTGGGTGGCAGGAAACTTAAATATGATTTGGCGGTTGGGAATTTAGCAGTTGGGAGTTCATGAATGTGTGAAGCCCGTGAAAGTTGAAAATGCGAATGTTGAGGGAGACCTGTACTCTTATTGCTTACAAATGCTTGTTTGCATTTATAATCATTCTAAAATATTAAATCAGAAATTATTTTAAATTTTACAAAGTTCATTCATACACTGTATATTACTTTTTATGCATATATAAAGTACTTAAAAAATAGAGCTCACATTTGTTTGGTAAAGATTGGCTAAGAGCTATAGATATAATATTTACCGTTTTCTTATGGCTGAATTATATTGTACGTATTACTTTTTCTTGGCTAGTTTATTATTACCAAATTCATTGATATTTTGTGTATCTTCTCTATGCATGTGTGGAGAATTCATGTTTTTGGTAGAGATTGGTTTAGAACTGTAGATTAAATTAAGTTCTGTGGTAGCATCCAGTGCTGTCTCTGTACTGGACATGAGTGTGGCACAGCAGGACCTTTTCTCACTTGTGCCACTCTCTCCTACACATAAATAGTATTGCCACTACCTTTCCATACTATATATGCAGGCACTTGATTCCTCTTCAAGACAGTGAGGGAATGGTGATCATATATAAAGAGTATTGTTAGATACAGTGTGATAGAGGATGCAAGTGAATAGGAGTAAGAATGAGAAAGAGGAAGGCAGTTAAGGTGTTGCCTGTCTCTACATCTGTCAGCTCATTTCTCCTGCTTTACACACTAAACCACAGCCATGAGAAACGAGTGAGTATATATAATAAGTATTGTTCCTCTGCGATACATTACATTCATTCATGGTGCATGAAGCGAACCCAGTACAACATATAAAACAGGGATTTCTTCTGAGACTTGGCAAATTAAACCTTTCTTGGCCTATATTTACAGGAAAAAAAAAAAAAGCTTAAATACATATGCACCAAATCAGTGGCTCTGTAGGTAGTGCCCCCTATTGCAGTTAGTCCTCATCATCTCCTTCCTTCACATAAAGTTCTAAATGTAAAAAAAAATGAGTTGTCTTTATTAAAATAGGAAGCTTGAGAAACAAGTTTTCATTCTTAATTTTATTATTCATAACTATTCAAGAGTCTGTTTAAGGGGCAAATCGCAAATACACAACATATTTGTTATTATTTCTCTGGGTTTGCGCTAAGAGGGCAAGCTTCCCCTCGTGAAGAACTACTGCATTAAATAGTTATACCTGTATATAACTAATAAATTAGTATAATCAGTAAACAGCAAAAACACACAAAAAAATTAATCATAATCCCTATGCAAAATCTAAAAAAAATTATGAGCATACCAAATAGGCACCAAACGGCCATACGCCTAGAATAAATTCAGTTGGTCATAAAACAAACGAGAAAATTAAATGCAGAATATTCAGCCAAAATCCTCCCCTTTATCCTCCCTTCTTCCTCTACCTCAAAACTAACCAGCCAGTCTTTATCAGGATTGAAGAGCACATGTTATGAACCTGTGAATCCCTATCTCGTTACTACTTTCACCCTTTACTCCTAGTCCAAACTTGTGTTGATGCAACCTAACTTCGTTTGGCTGGGTATCCATTTTCTTATGCCTTGGCGTGAAAGCCAACCATCAAATTTTGTTAATATTCTCGATTGATTTCATGTACCCAAATCTGCTTTCTTACTCTTTACTTTTTCTTATAAATGTCAGTATAACGTAGTTTAACCCTTTGACTGTTTCAGTTGTATATATGTATATGTCTTAGGAGCCACTGTGTTTGACGTATATACAGTATACTCATAAATTCTGGCGGCTTCAAATCGAGCAGGAGAAAGCTGGTAGGCCCACATGTGAGAGAATGGGTCTGTGTGGTCAGTGTGCACCATATAAAAAAAATCCTGCAGCACACGCAGTGCATAATGAGAAAAAAAAAATGACCATTTTTTTGGATTAAAACGGCGACTTTGTGGTGTATTTTCATATAGTATTTATGGTTGTATTCTCGTTTTCTTGGTCTCATTTGATAGAATGGAAAACATATTATAGAAATAGAGGTGATTTTGATTGGTTTTACTATGAAAAGAACCTTGAAATGGAACTCAAAGTAGGGGAAATGTTTGATTTTTGCCGATGTTCAAAAGTAAACAAATGATGTCATTGTCCAATAAATGTCCAACTAGCCATTCTAATATGCAGTCACGAATGGGTTGACATTATTTGTACAATTATTACAATATTGCAGTAGTCTGCATAACAGTAAATCTTCTATTTTTTTGTTTGAAAAAAATTCAAAATAGTAAGCAAGAGTAATATCAGAAGGGCCTGGAGAAGTGACTGATGAACAAAGAAAGAGCCAGGAATGTCTGCATTGTTCATTCTGGACCCTATTTTGAAATTGGCATATTTTTTAATTTTCATGAAATTAGCCAAATTGCAAATTTCTGACCACGTTATTGGGTAGTTGAAATCGATAAATGGGCAGTTTCCTGTACTCAATCGATAGAACAAATGGAGTTCTAAAGAAATAGCTATGGGTTTGGTCAACTGGAACAATGGAATTAGCCAAAAATAGGGCTCAAAGTGGGCGAAATCGCCAATTCATAAATATTGCCGAGGTCGCTAACTTCACGAGAGCATAATTCCATAAGTTTTCCATCAAATTTTGTTCTTCTGGTGTCATTACCATCGGGAAAAGATTCTCTATCATTTCATAAGATTTTTTTTTTTTTTTACACCAGGAGACACCTCAGGATTTGGGGTTTCGAAAGTCAAGGGGTTAAAGACCAGAATATTATCTTAGGCTTATTTCTTTAGTTTTCTTGTTTATTTGGTTC